ACTTATTTAAAAATGCACCTTTAAATGTTTATTATCTAGTAGTTTTCAGTTAAAAGTATTAAAAAAAAGCTTTCAAGTTGTGTATTAGTTAATCCCTTTTTTTTCGAATGAAATTTATACACAGAGATAGTCTTTTAGCTTGCCTTTAATTATTTTTTTAAAGCTTAAAATTTTTTAGTTGTTTTGATAATGAGTAAAAATTAATTCGTGAAATATACAAATAAAATAGTACACGAGGATAATTTAAAAATTGAGGATCAAATTCAATTATTACATAATATTACACATTCTGATACATTTTAACAGTGTTAAGTGAATGTCCTTTTCTGCGAGGAAGCACTTTTTTTATAAATACGATATTGCGACATTGGATTTTGAACTCGCATGAATATGAATCGCGATATAAGATTTTAAAATCACATGAATACGATTCCATCAATGTTAGATTGTGATTCAAAAATACAAATCACGATATTGGATTTTAAAATTACGTGAATATGAATTGCGATATTGGTTTTAGGAAATTGAAAATACAAATCGCATTATTGGATTTTTGAGTCGCATCAATACGAATCGCGATGCATGAATTTTAGATCCAGTGAATAGGAATAGCGATATTGGATTTTAAACTCGCGTTTAATATGAATCACGACGCATGATTTTTAAATCACATGAATACGATCCCATTGTATTCATGTGATTTATGTTCTTATGTTTAACCATCATAAATCAGTCCGAATTTCTACATTAGGGTGTTGGTTACCATCAAAAAATATAATGATTCATGATGGAATTATTGATGGTTACCATCAAGATTATGTTGGTCCATCAATTGAAAACAATCAAAAATTTTGACTTGTGTTGCTACTAGTATCTAGACCTAGAGGAATGATACGAAAAACTGGAATACAATCACTCCTGATTATTGGTTATTCGTTCCAGATGCTTTCCTATATGTGAAGGGGTTCGATAGAGTGTAGTTGAAATCTTGAGGAAGAGTCTGTGTTGGTCAAAAGAAAACATGTGAAGGTAGCTTTAAAAAAGAATGGGAGTTATTTTGCCTCCCTGCTATTCTTTTTAATCAGGAGAATTATGCGTTTCAAAGAAGGGATGTTTAATAACTATTTTTTCACGTCTCACTTCGTTCTTAAAAGAATCACGATATTGGATTTTAAGAAAGCGAAAATACAAAACGCAATATTAGATTTTAAAATCGTGTGAATATATTGGATATTAGGTAAGCGAAAATACAAATCGTGAAATGGATTTTTAAATCGCATAAATACGAATCGCGATGTGTGCTTTTTAGGTAGCGTGAAAACGAAATGCGTAACTTAAATAACGTGTGAACACGAAAATCAATATTTTAAAAACGCGTGAATACGAATATTGGCATTCGATTTTAAGCTCGCGTGAATACAAATCACAATCCTGATTTTAAATACAAATCACTTAATTGGATATTTAAATAACATTTACATTTGATAATAAATTCAAGAAAAATCTGTCATAGCAGCTAAATTTCCCAGGAAATTATGACATGATAACTTGAACAAAGAAGCAAGCTTAAAGTCAAGCAATGACATCAAAACATCACAGGCTTTTATACAAAAAATGTGGTTGTGTCAAAAGCTAATTTACAATATCATGGACATTTTGTATAACATTAAAGTGAAAACATAGTAACAAGTTTAGTTTTAACCCTTTTGCATAATGTTATGAAAGCAATAAGTTATAGTGGAGGTATGTTACTCTTTCAGAGAAAAAGTCATAAACTAGAACTTTATTTTTGTATCGGGGTGAATTAGGAAAAGCATAATACAAAGGAAGATCCAACTGATTAGTCAAACCATTTCCAACAAACACAATGCATTTCTTTCTTTTGCGATTGCTTCCATGATTACAAAATTAGAGTATGCAGTAACTCATGTGACACATTGACTCTATTTTTTCTTCATGAAAGGCAGAGAAAATGCGAGAGGAAGGGGGGGGGGTTATCTGCTATTTCTTTTTCTATCATTTCAACAGATTTTGTCAGTTTTTTTTCATGGAATGTCTTATCTTACTTTGAAAAATAATCATAATTGTAAAAAGAAAAAAATTGAAACAAATTTTTAAAAAGTGGAAGATTTTTGTTCCTGATCGAAAGATTACAAAACAAGTCCGTAATTCAGAAGTCTTTCACCGAAATCAGGGTTTTTGACCCTCCCACGAACCCAGCTCAAATGGGTTTTTTTATAATCAAAATCTTTCCTTATATCAATTGTTATTTTTTATTTGACTTATAAATATTAATACATAACACACAACTATACATAACCCTACTTTCAAAACTTAGTATATATATATAGATATATATATAACTTTGAATTAATATAACAATTTTTCTTGCCTCGAAGTTAGGAAAAATCACTTTTTTTAAACAATAATTTGAGCTTCCTTAATGTTATTTGTTTTGAATTGAACAGATGTAGAGTACGGGGTGAAATAACTTTCTTTTAAATCCTTAACAAATAAGTTTTTAAAAATTTATAAAATAAGCATATATAAGTATTACAATAAAATATTAAAAATATAATCTTTTAATTCTTTTTGAAAGAATATTTTTGTTTTATAAAATATAGAAATGTATGGATTAAAATATTTTGTTAGTATAGTTATATTTTAATGCTACAAAATAATCATTTAAATACAAAAAATCATTAAATTTCAAAAATACTGAATAATAGGAAACTAATATTTTCTTATTTTGCATCATAAATTTTATTTAATATAAGTTCACATGATTGATTAATTATTTTATTGACCGCAGCAAAACTAATTCGAAATACATAGTTAAAAGAGCAATTCAAAAACTATCAAGAAAACTGTGAAATAAACAGTAGTTAGTTTTGCTTGTAAAAAACTCTTATTAAATGAAACTATAACTTAAATACTTAAAAAAAATTTAACAAAACAAAAAACAGCATATTTCTTTGACCCCAATATTATGCTTTCATTTCTAATCAAAGAAGGAATTAATTTAACAGCCTTTTATTATACCAGCATGAAAAGATGGTATTAAAATAAAAGCTAATTTTTTTTATTTTAATTCATTATTTAATTATTCTCCAAAGTTTTCTTTTCTATTAAAATGATTCCTTTTAAATTAAAATTTAAACCTAAAAAGTGTTAAACTAGGCAATATTTTTAAAAAATCCAATAAAACCTAAAAAAGCACAATAAAACCCACTGGGTTGAAGTATTTTGTGAAAAACCCGGGCAAACCCCGACTGAAATTGGTAGAGTTAGCAGGTATATGTATAAGTCAATTAAATTTATTATGAATTTGAATTCGTTTAATTTATGAGTGGGACCAAAAATATAGTTTCATAATTTTAATTTAATATATTTAAATTTCTAACATTTTTAACTCACATGCTAGTTTATTTAAGAATTGTTTAAAATCAACAACAACAAAAAATTCTCTTTAAAAGTAGAAATTATTATCATAAATTTTAAACAATATACCTACAAACTTTTTTTCTAAAAACATCTTGACAAAGTTGTATTAAAAAGAAAGATACCGAAATTTCTACCCCATTCCACGAAAAAAAAAAAAAAACTGTGTTGTTCGGAATATTAGACTATGAGAATTTTTTACATCTCTGATGTAAACTTGAAGGTAGACATTTAAAACTACAATCTTTAAAAAACTTTTTTTTTTCACATAAAGAACTAGAATAAGGTTTATGACTACAATCAACATAACTATGAACTATTGCTATTATTGTGTAAAACTTATAAGAATTAGGTTATTCAACAGTATAAATAACTGAGAGCAATCTTTTTCTGAGGTTTATAAATGTGTGAACATGATTTTGATCAATAAGACTTCTCTCCATTAAAAAAAAAATCTTGCTATTTAAGTTTTTTAACTAATTCTAGTTTCAGTATTAATATTTAAATTATAATCCTGTTTATTAATATCACAAAATGAAGTTTTGTCCCCAATACGAGTAGAGCAGTGAGTTATTAGAGCATCCAAATAATCACTTGTCTTCTGAGGTTTATCGCACATATGAATAAGACTGCGATCATCTAGAGTCCTTTTCTTTGTAAAATTCTTATTACATACACAACAAGAATAAGGTTTCTCTCCAGTATGAGTTCGATTATGAACAATCAAATGACTTTTTTGTTTGAACTTCTGATTACAAATGCTACAAGAATAAGGTTTATCGCCCGTATGAACACGTAAATGGGCAGTTAGAGAACCTTTCCTTGAAAAATTCTTATTACATAAAATACAAGAATAAGGTTTTTTACCAGAATGTGTTGAGTTGTGCAAATTTAAAGCACCTTTTCTTGTAAAACCTTTATTGCATATAATACAAGAATAAGGTTTTTCACCTGTATGAGTAATTTTGTGATTCATTAGGTGATTCTTCTGTGAAAAACTCGTTTGACATAATGTACAGAAATAAGGTTTAGTATCAAAATGAACAGATCTGTGATCAATCAAACTACATTTCTTCGAAAAACTATTATTACTCAAACTACAAGAATAAGGTTTATCAGCGGTATGAAGACGATTGTGTCTTATAAAATGACCCTTCTGAGAAAAACTTTTTTCGCATAAACTACAAGAATAAGGTTTTTCACCTGTATGAAGAACAAGATAATTCGTTAAATTAATTTTTACAGAAAAACTTTTATTACATATGCTGCATGAAAAAAGTTTTTCGCCAGTATGAACACGAGTGTGAACAATAAGTTGGTTTTGTGTTGCAAAACACTTTTTACAAACATTGCAAAGATAAGGTTTTTCACCACCAGAAAACATTTTTAACTCATCTAATTTGCTGTTTGTCATAAAACTCATTTTACATATATATTACAATCAGATGATAAGTTACTAATCTGAATAATCCTTTAAACCTTTATACCATGGGAGGAAGGTTTTTAAAGAAGAGATGATTAGTAAGTATAGTAAGATATTATCAGAAACCTTTCCTTACGTTTGGTAAGGAACATTTTCATGGATTAAAAAGTTTTGTTTACATTTTTAGTTGTTTGTTTCTACCCACCTTTTTCCCCGAATGTACGCTGAATTAATGTCGAATATTTGCGAATCAGAATAGAATCAGAATATTTGCGAAAACAACTGAGCTTTAAATCAGTTATGCCAGCAAATCTATTGCTTTCTGTGGATCTTATTATTTGAGGTTGCTTAAATTTTTAATAAATTTACAGATTCAAATGCTTCCAGTCTTGATAACAACCTACAAAATGTGACACATCTCTATCACTCACGAACCAACCAATACCAACCAAAATTTGACTTTTGACCTCTAGCAGCATGACTCATTCTTAGAATAACAGGTCAAAGCGTGAGTAGTAACGTTAATTAATGCCCAACCTCTTGTGGGATGTCGGAAATTGAAACTAACTGAAATGTTTGTTTATTGTCTTCCTTGTTTTGGAATTGCTTTTCACTGTCATAATTATCCTTTTATGTGTCTTAATTCTGTCTCAGTAAATGAGATTGTTATTCAAAGGAATTAGATGAGATGATTCTTCATATGGCTTACGTTAATGTTTTAGAGTGGTCCCCAGAGCATGTAGCCGAATGGTTAAGGGGTAAATTTGTTTACATCTTCTCTCTACACTGTTGTTATCCGATATTTTTATTTTCTTCACATTCTGTTCATTATTTCATAGAAGGTTGCGTCTTTTTTAATTATTTTTCTGTTTCTATTTTACTAATTTCTCTTTAAATTATTGCCGATTAATAGTAGGTTGCGTAGAGAACTTTTCTATTCTTTAAATAAAAAAGTACGTAAATTTTCGTATTAATACTCTGTTGAATATTTGCATACTAGATATTTGTTTTTCAAGCACTGATATTATTTTATTTATATTTCCTTACATTGTTTAATATTTTTGTATATTTAGTACGGTAACATTTTATTGATTGCTTTATAATTTTATAATGCTCTATTTGGCAAAAAGCTGATCAGAAAGTTATTGCTTGCTGAAAAGGAAAAAAATTCATTAATACTGTAAACATTAGTTATAAATATGGATATTCGGGGATATTTCCGTATCGTGGTCTGGCAGGCCAACAAAATCGCCAAAGGGAAAGTATACAGTTTTGAGGTTAAGTAAAAAAAAATTCTTGCAGAAAATGTCTTTGATAAAGTAAAGGGTTTTATTAATTTTGTTCAAATGAAATTTTCAAAACTTCTTGCTTTACAAAGGAAATTTTTAAGTTTAATTTGCAGTCTACTCAACTTTATTTTTTAATATCGTATAGAACTTAATTGTTAAATTTCTTGTGAGTTTGAATAACATATTTGTATATTATCAAGGGCGCCGGCAGAATAATCTAAAAGGGGGTGCAACCCTCTAATAAATTAATCCCCCCCCCAAAAAAAGAAGAAAAAATTTAAAAAATTTTGTTATTACATTTTGTTTTGCTATTACATATACTTTCAGCCATTAATTTTTTTCAAGATTCATTTCTTCATTATTTTTTAAAAGAAAAGTTCGAATTTCTTGTACTTGCAAATTTTGCCACGAGAAACTTTATTGATGGTGCTGGCATAGCTACTGACTTTGAAACACAAATAACTACAAGCAGTAGTTTCGTATATTAACGTGCTTGTGGCTGGCCAAGAAGGTATCGTTCAAAAATTGATTCGAGACAAATATCCTAAAGCTGTGTTTTTTCATTGAGCCAATCATTTATTGAATCTCGTGATCAACGACTTAAACCGTGTTGAGGGAGTGCAGAATACTATAGGGACAACGAAGGAAATTATTAGCTTTTCAGGGAAAGTACCTTGTGACAAAAAGAAGTTCCTAACATCCCTTTGCTCCGTGAAACACGCTGGTCAGAAAAGTACAAGAGTACCAGACGATTTTCCGAAAAGTTTGTTACAATTATAAAAGCTTTTGAGGGCCTTACAGAAAAGGCGGCAAACAAAGACACCAAAGTGAAAGCTAATATACTTTTATCAGCTGCTACAACGCCAACATACATTGTATCACTTTTTGTTATTGCTACTTATTCTGCCGAACTTGAACCTGTGTGCAATCAGTTGCAAAAAGTAAACACAGATCTAAAAGAAGTAACTGATTATGTAGTCAAATTGATAGAAGTGCAGCAAATTAATCAAAACAATGCTGCTGAAGAGTTTACTGCAATTTTCGCGAAAGCAGAACACATTTGCGAAGAATTAGGCATTGAAATGTGGCCTCTAGACAAGTTCATAGATCGAATGTGCCTTCTGAACACACGGGAAAAAATTTCAGGAATATCAATCTTTATTCCTTATTTAGACTCCATTGTATCTTCTTTGACAGACCGTTTTTCTTCTACTCAAAGAAAAGCATTTTCAGCAATGGACAAACTGGACAAAGCGTCATATCCTGAAGTTTTAGAAGATATATAGGACTATGTATAAAGATCTGCTCTCATCGAATGTCATCACTGAAGCTACAACGTGGTACGAAATCTGGAGGAATAGAGAAAATTTTTACGAATCCCCTGTATACATTGATTTAGTTATTGAGGCCACACCGTTTTATCCAGCTGTAGAGGAAGCAAACAAGATGATTATAATTCTTGTTTGATTAAACAATTCTTTAATTGTTTATGTATCAGTAATTACTTAATTATTTGATTTTGAACAAAAATATTTTTAATAAAAAAAATTTATAACAAAATTTTTTTTCTCTTATCTCATTAATTGTTTTTAAAAAAAAGCCAGGGGGTGCAATAAATTTCAATATAGTGCCAAGGGGGTGCAAGTGCGCCTCCTTGCACCCCCCTCCCTGCCGACGCCCTTGTACATTATACAGAATAAAGATTTCACTGTAATTCCAGATGGAGTTTTATTTTTGTGTAATTTTTTTAAAATATATTTTGATGTAAAACGAGCAAAATATGAAAAAAATCATTATAGTGTAGAGCAGTAAATTAATATTTCTAATGCCACAAGTGTTTAGATGTTGGAAATTTGAAATCAGAGAACATTTATTTTGAATGAAAACTATTGGAAATAAATTAGTTTTGTTACTAATAATCATAAATAATTATGCTGAATTTATAGCAAAACCACGAATATTAAACTTTAAAAATCGGTTGGAATTTTGTCTTAAGATGGTGAAAAATATCTAACTAAAAGCATATTAATAAAATATGTGATTCTTTGAAATATATGTGAGATAGATTGTGTTTTATTTCAGTCTTTCATCCCTTCAGTGGGTCAATATAAATGAGTACCAAGCATGCTTGGGAACTGAACGCAAGGGTTCCGTGTTCTGCTGACCACCTAACCGTAACATCTGCTACTGCACCCCAGAGCCCAAGGTCAAAAAAACTGATTTGGGCACAATAAAACTTGGCCCTCTTTGGGCTGTCGCGCCACTGAGTTTAGTTTGTTTCATTAATATAAATTCATATTTATAATAAATTGTGCTACCTGATTAAAAACGTCATTCACTTTAAAAGTATATAAATAGCAAATAACATTTGACATGTTTAGATTGCTTAAAAAATAGGCGTCCACTTTCAAGACTTGCCAGACATGAATGAGAAGAAACATAAGTGATTTGAAATAAAAACATAAAATTGTCAATGAAAAATGGAAAATTTGGTGAGAAACGAAGCAGTGGTGAAAAGGAACAGATAAGGGTAAAATGCATTTCCACACACTATGGAGAGTTGGTGAGAAGCTAATGACATTAATAATGGAGTCATCTTTCATATAAATGAAATTTGATTCCAGGGCATCTAGATGAGCTGATGCGACTGGAGTGAAACTGATTTTAGCATTGTCCAAATAGAATTTATGCCCATTATTCTATCAATATGTAGCATTTCATGATTTCTCATATTTTTGATAACAGACAATCTTGCTCCTTAAGTCTAAATCTTAAACCGTGTCCAGTTTGCTCGATATAGCTAAGGTTGCACTGATGAGGAATCCTGCTACATCAGACCTAATAGAAGTGCTTTAAAATTTAGATTTAAGGTCTGGCAAGTCTTGAAAATAGATGTATATCAGTGGTCTGTTTCGCTTATTTTTATTATTAATGCTTTGTAAATTGAATTTAAACCCTTGCCATAAAACTTGCAGGTTCTTTTTCAAATTTTCATAATGTGAAATGATTTTCACACTAAACTTTTCTTGGCATAAGACAAATTTATTTAAATACCTACTATGCTACATCACACACATAAAATTAAGTATATAAAAATAATTACAAATCACATCGTCAAAAAACGCTTCGCTCCTTCCCTCCACATTCTAATCCTTTTTACATTACACTCCAAATATAAGAGAGAATCTTTATTAATTAATTCTTAAGTTTTGTTCATATCTCGTAGCGCCATCTAGTGGTGGCAAATCTTACACGTCCCTGGGGGGAAAGATGTATCTAAAGGAACCACAAAGTTTTTGTGAAGTCTTCACTCGCACCCTTCTTTCTGTCTCTCCTCCTCGGACATCCTTTCCTCTCTTCCAGATCACGTGGAAGCTGATAATGTCAGTGATAGGATTGCATGTAGCAGGAGAGGAGAATAGTTAAGCTTTTCTTCGAATAAAAATTATTTTTGTCTCATAAGAGTTAGTCTGGCAGCACAGTTTTATTTATTATGTATTCATCACGCATTTTATTTATTTCCTTCATTTCGCAAATTTATCTCACTATTATCTTTTTTTATTTATATTTTGTAGCTCAACTCCTTCAAAATCAAAAATGAAATTTATAAATTGCAAACACAGTATTCTCAGAAATTATTTCTACTTCTATAAGCATCATATGTTTGCAATCTTATTAACATTAAATAAATAATAATTTTTGTTTTCTTTTAGTAAATAAATAATTTTTTAATTTATATTTATTCATACAATTATTTAAAAGAGTATTGTTTAATTGAAAATTATTTTATGTCAATTTTTTTGAATGAAATGTTATAAATTTAAGAGACATTTAAATTAACTTAATTTGCAACACATTATAAGTGATCCATAAGTTGTATTTTTTAAAATATGTCAATTGAAATTATTAAAAATGTAAGTGATTTTGTTTTCAATATTTGTCCTAAAAGAATGTTAGGCATTTGAGCAGTATAAGCTAAATACTGAATATTTATGTGTTGCATCTCTAGTTTTGTAGTAGTAATTGGCATTTATTTTTGAAAATAGAATTTTTTTATTATTATTATTTTACAGTGTTAAGTATAATTTTGATTTTTAAATTTAAAAACTCCTTGAAAGTGTTTTTTGCAATTATTGCAGTGACAGGATTCTATTTGTACAAATTCTTTGAATTAGGACCCTGGTTGAAACAAAGTGACTTGACATTAATTTTAGATTCACAAATTATGAGTAGTTTTTTCACAATTTTACAAAAACCGAACCTTTCCCAAAATGTCTGGATAGACCCCTGTCTATTTTCGAAGCGCTTGAAACATGACGACTGTTATTTGCTATTTATATATTTTTGAAGCGAATGAAGTTTTTATTGAGGTACTGTCTTCCGCTTCAGTTTGTTAGGATTGTTTATTTGACAAGTTCTATTATTATATTGTTTTTTTTTCCGCAACATTTGCTTCATTTTAACTCAATCGTGGTACCGACAGGATGAAAATATTTTAGTTGTCATATTTTTATTGACTATTAATTTGTTTCTTTTTATAGGATTAGAATATTCTTTACTGCCATACGTTCAATTCTTCTTGAACAATGGAATCGATGGACAGCATTTGCTAAATTTAACTGCAAATGACTTGGAAGATCTTCACGTTTTTAAAATTGGCCATCAAACACTCATATTAGAAGCTGTTGAACTTCTTAGACAATTGGTGAGACTTAAAAGAAAAAACTCTTTTTTTTTTCTCATGTTAGTTTTTAATTGCATCCATGAAATTAACTTTCGCATACTTGAAGTAACTAAAATCTTGTCTTAATTTGTGTATAATGTTATCACTTGAGTATTTTACTGTGTCATTTTATATGTTATTTAGTTATTCTTCTTTCAAGCACTTAAAATACACAAAAAATGGTAGTACACCATATAAATGCTTATAAACCTGAAAATTTAACTTTTCAGTTTCTAGTCGGTAGACTTTTTTTCTTGAAACCTAATGAGTGAGTGACTGATATCGATAGGTCCTTTAATTTAAAAGCCACTTTATACAGATTCTTTATTTTCTTTTGCTTGGATTAAATTAAATTGTTTTACGTATCGTGTATATGTTATGTATTGTATTATATGTATCACGTTTTTAAATTCCAATATTGTGATACTTATTTCGTATTTATATGTAATTTTAAAAATATGCATTTTGATTCGTATTCACTCGATCTAGAAATTATGCCGCAGAAATTATTTACGCGGTTTAAAAATTCAGTATCGCAATTTGTATTTTCACGTTTTTAAAATTCAATATCATGTTTCATATTCACACAAATTTAAATACCGATATCGCGATTCATATTCACACGATTTTGAAATCCAATATTGTGATTCTTGTAAGAAGTAAGTTTTTTCTTGAATTTAGTTACTATAAATGTGTCATATTCTTCATATGTAGGTAATTTAATTATAAATGTTAGTTTAAAAAATTATGGTTAATTTGAAACATGTGTAATACACGAATTAATATCTTGATATAAATTTTTTTGCACTTGAAATTTTCAGGGTTTTTCAATTTGAGTTACAATTACCCCGGTTAAGTGCTTAATTTTTTACTTAATTTATTGTTTGACTCATTAATTTAATTCTTAGTTCATAAATATGGTACAAATAGTTTTTAAAAAAAATTCTTTCCATATTTTAAAATGTCAAAATGTGTTTGACAATTTAACCTTTTTCTTTTCAGCATTATAATTTGAGTTCAGAGACTCTGCAATCGTTGGCTGTGAAGCTGAGCTGCAAGGCCCGTAGTTTGCACAATGATCTGAAACTGAATGGACCCCGAGACCAAAATAACCAACAGGAAAGGGTTTCAATGAATGTTTTGTCATCCGTTTCCGAAGTTTTAACTTCTGTTAAATCTCTTGTATCCTGGTTGGATCGGTATCTATCAATTTTTTTTATCTTTGAATTATTTCCCATAAACATTATTTCTTTTTCTTCAGAAAAAAAATTTTTTAAATAATTTTTTCACGTTAAGAATAATATTAATAAACGACTGTTTGGGATTCATCCAAAAGGAAATCCTTCATCATCCTGCCTGTTCTAACCAATTTTTTTATATTTCAGAAAATTTTCTAAATTTGGAAATATTACAAAAAAAATTAAATAATGCTGCTTCGTAACGAAGTGAGATAAATATATTTAATTTTTTAAGCTCTTTCATTAATAGTACTCACTTTAAAACTTCTTTGAAAGAAATAAAGATTTTTGTTTACTATTTTTCTTCAAAACTTTACTGATTAAATTAATTTAATACTATTGGATTTTTTTTTTCTTTCTTAAATTTCATAATCTTCATATTATTTAAAAAATATTTCATATTTATTTAAAATGAATTTCAGGTCTTTTATTTTCATAAGATTAATATCTTTTATTTTTAAGATAATAAACTTGTGCATATTATCAATAATTTTCTAGTTCCTTCAATGCCAATTATAAAAATTAAAATGTTGTATCCTATTTTAATTTGTAATATTTTCACTTCCTTTTTAATGAGTGTAAAAATTCCCTAAAAATGAGATATTGTTTGATGCATTTCACTATTAATTAAAAAAAAAATTTTTTACTTATTTATTTGTTTACAACCTTGATATAATTTTTTTTTTTTATGATTGCAATGGAATAAAATCAACATGTTCAATTGTTAATGTGATCCTACACTTTATTTTTAAAGCCTTCCTTTTCAACAAGATCCTGTCTGTATCAAGTTGAAAAAGACAGTTTTAAGACTGAGTATTGAACTTGCATCCACCACACAAAGGGATCAATTTGCAGAAAAACCACACACGCTCATCAAGAAAAATGTAAGCTTCCTTTTAAAAAAAAACTCATACTGGAATGCATGTTCATTCTTTTTGTGGGAGTGGGAAATAATGTTTTATCTTTTTTATTAAATTTTTAAAAAATTCAATTCTATATATTAAGCAAAAATCACATTTATTATGTTCATATGAACGACTGAAATATAGAATAAATTATGTATTTTTGAATGTAAATAAATATAATTCTCACTGGTTAAAAAAAAAATCCTAACTTTCGTACCATGGAACTCTAAGAGTACCGCAGAGTACCTTTTGGGAACCACTGGTTTATATCTTTATGTTATTTGTTGTATCTAAAGCTTTTGATATTATACTTCTTGAAAACTACCACTCATCAATAACTCTGATTTCTGTATACCAGGTTGCGTAGTATTTTTAAAAAGTACTTAAAGGTGCTTATTTTCGTTTTTAATTTTTCCTTTTTCAAAATGAGATTTTTCCCTTACCATGTTGATTTTTGCTTCAAATTATGCAAGAAGACACAGTTCACATTGTTCTATTCAACGTTTTCACAATTAATTTAACCCCAATCTATTTCGGCGCATTGTCAGTTCGTAGCATATGGAAACGCTTGTGAAACGAAATTCGTTTCACATGATTTAAAATTTCATATGATTTTTAACAATTGTCAAAAACGATTCTGTAATGTCAGAATTTATCATTATGACTATTATTTGTTTTAATTTAGAAATGGCGCTGCCATCGCGTTGCTTATGGTAGTTACTTCCTTCCTAAAAGGAGTAATTAATATTCTAACCGACAACAAGCAAGGTTCTCCGGCTTGAAATCATTTCTTTATGTTTTGTTTCCTAATTTTTAATAAATGTTATTAAGTTTAATTTTGGAGTTTATTCAATAGATCCATACACACGAACCTCTGAAACTACAAATGTCAAAAGGTTTTTTTATTTTTACATGACGATTAAAACCAGGTCAATTGTCAGTTGTCAAAAACTTTCCAACCCTGCCTAATTATGATATTTTTTTAAGTGCTTACAAATATTTTTTAGTGCTTAAAAGGTGCTTATTTTTTGTTGAATTATTTGGCTATGCACTCTGTATACATTAAGTGTTTTTTCTTCTTCATTTCAGTCTGCTCAAATTGCTGAATTATGTGATCAGTTTGTTCAAAACTCTATGGACTCTCTGATACTGCAACCTGCATCCCTAGATATAGCAGTGATAAAGAAGAAACCAGATGAAGAATTGGTATTATATTCCTTTTATTCATTAATGTTAAAACCTATTTTGTTTCTTTTAAATTTTAAATATCTCATTGTCATGCATTTTTAAACAAAATTGGTAAAATAGTTTCTGCGTTGTAAAGAATTAAAACTGAATTTTTTAAAATTTTATTATTTTAAAGCTATTCAATCCCTTTTGTCATTCAATATTATATAATTTAAACAAATGTTTTTAAATTTTTGCAGTTTGCAATCAAAATCGGATGGGTTTTTTTTTTCTATTGAAATAAGACTATCTAAATAAAAAATTAAAAGAATCAATTATAAAGACAAAATAATAGTGATTTTGCTCTGAAATGAATCAGTTAAAAGTATGACACATTAACACGGTAATCTTATATTATTCCATATCTTTATGTGTTTATTGATTACTTTTATCATTGTTTGTAAAGTGTGCACATGCATATATATTACATTAGAATATTGAATATTTTTAGGGTATACATATAAAGTCCACATATTCTGGAGTACATATAATTGGAGGCATTAAAGATCAAGTTAGTATAATTAAAAAAAATTCTCTTTTTTTTTCTTTCTTTTTTTATAGTTTTGTATTTGTTTTGATAAATTTGATATGAAAAGACTCAAACTTTAGTTGAATTCTGTAACTTGAACCACCCCAGCTTATTTGTATCATGTGTATATATAGCCTGATTTTTTATTAACAAATCTAGTAAGCACATAAGTTGGGTTAATTTTATGGTTCCTACCAACGATGGGATACCTGCAAATGACGTAGTACGGGTATCTCGATCCTGATTAGTTGTTGAAACGTGGCTTTTGTTTACTTTAGCAACTGTTCTTTCCATTCTGTTTTGAGTAAGCTAAGCCTTTCAAGAATCAATTCTTTTAGGTGAGACGAAGAAAAATTAGTAAAAATTGAAAAAATATGACAATCAAGTCATCAGGGGGTACCAGCCCTGAATTGTCATAAAAATGCAAAACTTCTTTTATCGAGAAAGCTAAGACAAATGTCAAAAATGCTTTCTCTGTGCCCCAAAAGTTTTTCTCCATTCCAGAATAAGAATACAAAAATAAATAGTGAAATATGTAATAAAATGCAGTTTAAATTACAGAAGCATGAAACAGTAGAATAAAGAAAATATAGAAAGAAAGTAAGAAAGAAAACTTACTTGTCAAATACGAAATAAAATAAAATACGAAAGCTTATACATTCATTGGAATAAAACAAGANATGATGTAAAATTAAATGCGAACTTAAGGAAAAAATGTAATTGTTAATTTATTCAAAGTGTCTTTATCATTCAAAATTGATAAATTTGTTTTTACACATATCAGTTTGTATCATTTTTATTGACGCTAAATTTTATTCATCGATCTTTTTTTTTTTCATGATGCCAACGGATCTGGCATTTCCGCACCAAAAAAATAATTAATAATTACTCTGACTAAAATTATATATAAAATATAAATTAATTTTCTATTAGAGTAGAAAAGTTTTCCAATTTCCTTAAATTCTCAAGCTATAGCAAAATATGCCAAAAGTAAAATTAACATTAAGAGGCTCAAACTTTTGATGGCTCTAGTGACCAAACTATTGGGACCATACTCCCCAGATTGCGTCTATCCCTCATAGTTTGGGGGTCAAAAATCTGAATCCGTTGAAAAAGAGGTATGTTTATTCAACGAAAGTACGTTTTTGTGTTTGATTTTGTAACTTAAAATACCGTCTGCACTAATTAATTAGCATGTTTGAAGTCACCTCCTTGAACCATTAAGATTGAGTGAATCCTAGAATGTGAAGATCAAAAGCTATTCAGGGTGGTCCGTTTATTTTTTTGCACACTGTACAATTGTCATAGTGACTATAATTCTATAATTATTTTTTTTCACTGTAATGTGTTTACTTAAATAAATTCTTACCAACATTTATGTGTTATTACTTTGTTTCAGAGTCCAACTAAATTATGTAACAAAGTTGAAAAGGGAGACGAAATAGTTCAAGTGAACTACCAGACAATAGTAAGCATATCAAATGAGATTACCTATTCTACTCGTGTCTTTTATTTTTAATGAGTATGGATTACATCTCCTAAAATGTTCTTTAAGTGAGGCAGTTTAAACTAAAAAAAAAAATTTCAAGTTTGTTATATAAACTTTGTTTAATATTATTATCTACTGAATTGTATTCAGTATGAAATTTATTTATGAAGTCTTAATTTTTTAAAGGTCAAATTCCACAATTGCAACATTAATTCTCTTTTGAAGGGGAATAGTTTTAGAATTATTTATCTGGTTTTGAATTATTTATCTTCAAAATAAAGGAGATGTTTTAATTCGGTACTCTTATCCCTCTAATGGTGTCGGGCTTTGCTTTTTATCTTTTCTTCTTACCTATGTTGTCTGAATCCCCCATTCCTTTGATTTCTTCTATCATCATCCTCTTGTCGTGTTTAACTGCCTGATGAAGGAAAACTACTTCGTCCCAAAATGCATAGTTTTATTGTATAGTCTTAATGAATGCTCATAAAATATTTTATAGTACTGCCTGCTGTGTAAATGACTGATTTTAAACGTTCATTACTATTTTGCTGGATTTTATTTTCTATCACTTCTTTAGATTGGTTGGCAGCAAAAGAAGTTAGTATCCACTATGACTGAACATTCAACTGAGTTACAACTAACGTTGAAAAAACGTCCTCGACACATCAACATGCTCGGAGAGGTGATGCTGTATTTATATATTTTTTAAATTAATTTTTTACCACTTCTTCCGTTGAGACGATGACCAAAGATGAGATTTCTTCTTTGTCAATTTAAAAAGAGCTGTTGGTCAAATGCGTCTTTCACAATTACTGAAAAAAAGTAGTATTTTAGGTTTTCTAATATGGAAATTTGACTTTGTTCATTATATCTATTATGAAATCATTTTTAATAAGACTTAGCTGGAACCCTTTTTTTTAAATTTTACTTATTTATTTTGAAAATAAACCCTATGTGAATCAGATTATTGGGTAGGTCTCTGTTGATTCCATTTATTGGACATAGTAATAGATCGATGTGACGAGTATGGCATATTTTATAACCGTCGTTAGACAGCCGACCCGATTTTCAGGTTTACGGCTACCAATGTTGAACTCGGTAGCCTTTTCATTTTGAAACCAATCTAGAGGACAAGGTAATTCCTGCATTAAGTATTAGGATAAATTTACCTTCATTTAGAACTTTTTGAGGAAACTAACCCCCATCTGCGTTACATGGAGGGGGAAATCACAAAAGCCTCCCCCGGTTAACGTGGCGACAAGGAGACTCAAACCCATGATTCGCCTACCACCCAGAATATTTTATGTCATCACTGTGGTCAATGCAAGCTGAGTAGGAAATTCGATTCGGCCAGTCATCGCTGGGATTCAAACCTGGTTTACCACCTTTGAAGGCGAGTGCTCTGTCCCGTGAACCACCACGGCTCGAGTATGGCATATTACAAGAAGTCTCCCGTTACATTGAGTTTCAAAGTCAACTCAAAATGCTACTACGGTACAGAACCTCTTATCTGGAAAACCAGATAACCGGAACGAATTTTGATACATTTTCGTGCCATTTAAAAATAATAATAATTTTTTTCCTTGTAAGATTTTAGGATTTTTTCTTTCTTTTTTAAGAGATGTTTACTTTACCATCATTTTAGAAATAATCATTAATTCCCTACACTGTCAGGAGAAATAAGTTTTTTTTACTAAATATCATCCTCCAATCATCCCTATCCGAGTTAGTCGTCATTCACGTTAACTTGGATAATCGGTATTTTGCTGTATTTGCTAATAACAAGAATTCCATCTGCTATTGTTATAACTGACTTTTAATTTGTAGGTCATCATTCTACGTCCTTATCGTATACCATCCAAGAAAACGAGCAAAAATTGTTATAACTGGCCCGATGATGGTCCACTCTCTCCCTTAGAGGTCAAGTCAAGTGAGAATGAATGTGAAAGGTCAGTTAACGCCATTCAATTCAGAATTATAAAACATGAGTTAGGAATAAGGTTATCNTCTGATTTCGTAACTTAATTAATAGTTAGCACTAATTAATTAGCATATTTGAGGTCACCCCCAGGAACCATTAAGATTAACACTTAGTTCGTGAAAATCCGATCATTAGAACGAAAGTTATTCAGGGTGATATTTTTTTTTTTTTTTTACGGACTGTACATTTCTGTATTAATAATATTGTGGATTTAACTTATTCTTAGTACAGTACAGAACCCGTTATCCGGAAATCAGAAAACCAAAAAACCTGAACGAACTTCGATAAATTTTCCCACCATTTTTTTTAAAAAAATGTTTTTTTTCCCTATACGATTTTAGGATTTTTCTTTCTTTTTTGATAGATGTTTACCTTACCATCATTTTGGAAATAATCATTACTGTATTACTTCATCATTTTTTCTTTTTTTTTTTCAAATTATTTCCAAATGTTTTTTTTCTTTTAGTTGGGTTTAACAATAAAAAATACGGCTTTTTGTAGCGATTCAGAAAACCAGAAAAATCAGTTATCCAGAATAGCGACGGTCCCGATCATTCCGGAAAATCGGTTCCCTACTGTATTATGAACTAAGTAATGTATAGAAGTGGAGTTTTTATGATGCACAGCGCACTTAATTGCATCCTTTCGACCTGACTTTTGCAGCATTAAAATAAGTATTCTATGAGTTTAAAGTGTTTCACTTTCCTGTTTGCCCAGAAATCTCCTGGGACAATATGTCCTCTTGAATATTGCTAAAATACTTATATATCGCATGGAAAATATAAGTGCATCGAATTATTTATTCTTACCAGAAGTCATCGAAACCAGAAGTTGATGTTATGAAACAAAAACTAAAATTTTGTCTTTTAATATTTTTATCACTAATGGGATATACATTTGGGGTATATACATTAAGTACATTTGGGATATATTGTCCCAATGATTGGGACACTATATCCCACCAAATAAAATGAGTCAAACTTTCTAAATCTGATTCTAAATAGGTACAATTATTACTTAATAGGAACAAACATACCTATTTTACACAAAATATAGTTGTACTTAGCTCAAAATTCAGAAAATATGTAAACTAAAAGAGATTGACTGACCTACTCACAAACAGAAGTCTATCATTTTGAATATGAGAGTGTTGCCAAGTTTCTTTTGTCACATTTTTATTCCCTAATGCCTAAAGAACCCTGAAAACATTAAAACCCATGCAAAATTGGGATCTGTTTTTCCATTGGGGAATAAAGTTTAATCTTAGGGATGTATATGTTCCATTCGGTCTGAATGGGTTAACACTTCACATTGACTTGGTATTAAAATATATTTTCATTCATTTTCTTATTCATGAAATTTTTGTTCTTTTGCATAGAAATGATTTTCAAGATGATGATTCTGCATTTCTACCAATTTCTACTCAGCTACAGCTATCCAAAGATTTCCCCATGCAGTACAGGTTAATCGAAAGCACCACGTCGACCGGCATTCAAAGAAGGGCGACAGTTAGTGGAGCATCACCCATTATTCTAAAGTCCCCCGTCAGCATCGACGATTTGGTGAACGGAATATTTTCTACAAAATTGACAGACCACTACGGACGCAGCATCTCTCACGACTCCTCTCGCAAAGCCAAGGCTCCGGAATTGGTAAACATATCGATTGGAGAACATGAAAGATATTTGTCGTCGTCGAAAGAAAATTTAGCCGATAATTTATTTAAAGAATTTAACAACAATTCGATCGAACAGGGGACTCCTTTTCCATTCAAAAGTGGTCAAACGTGTGATGGTAAAGAGAATGACTCAGCGTCTTTTGCTACAAATGTTTCCCCAATGCAAAAAGAAAATTTTAGACATTCAAACGGAATAAATCAAGGTGAGGCAGACAGAAGGATTTCTTTGGAAAAGAGTGATTCTTCGTTGAGTGTATCAGGTATTGTATGGAAATAATTTGAAATTTTGTTGATTGTATTATGTTTTAGTTTATATTCATGCAAAAAAACATGTTTTAGTTTATATTCAGAATTCATATTGTCCGACGATTGCGGAATTTCCGTAGATAGTAAAGTAGTCCATAGACCACTGATAAATATGTTTTGCATAACACTTAAATGTTGAAGGGATACAAAATTGAATAACAGTAAAAGAGGTAAATCTGTGTGTGGGTGATGTATAGTGAATTGAGAAATGTATTGGAAATTTTGCAAGGGTGAAGTCGAAGTTAAAATCGGTTAGGATTAAATTTTTAATAGTTAACAACTATAGCGTATTCTAAATCCCCTCCACCAGAAATATAAGCATGATGTTTTTCTAGAAATAAGAATCATGAGTAGTTTAATTTATTTTACATAATCTTAATGTTGATTAATTTCTCTAAGATTAAACACAATTTTTTACATGAATTTGACCTTGTAGCAGAACATTAATATCAAGTTAAACAATGAAATACAAAAAATTACCAATTATAAAAGACAAGTTACAAATTATAAATGTTACAAGAGTTACAAATTATAAATATTTTGAGCTGCACTGCTGTAGCGATAGCTGAAAAGAGGAAATATAAATCTTATTGTGGGCTCACTTCAAATTCCAACCAAAAAATCCTTCCACTTCTCTGCCCCTACTCGAAAAGTTGAAAACTTACACTAAAAAATCCTCTGCCTTCTCATTGGCTGAATCTATTATCTATTGGTCTCAAACATTTGAAAATTGGATAGTTAAATCAAAAGCTATTGAAATTTTATTTGTCTACTTATTACTACATTTTCGACTAACTTTATATTGTATTTTATTTATACAGATGGTAGAAATGGTGAAAGATCAAGCACTCTGATGTACAATTGGGGTCATGAGCGCATGGAGTTTCATGGACGCAGACCCAGTGCTCATGATTTAGCCAATGAAATTGCCGGTAACAAGGAAACTGATATTGATCCTGTCTTTTTGAGAAAAGCCACGAAGCTGGAGTCTTCCCCAGCAGCCAACGTAAGTTTTACAACTTATAATATTCCCACTTGTCCAACTTCTTAAATTTTTAGAAATTATTTTTTTGAAGATTTCTTATTAGTTTGTATTTACTATTTTGATGTATCATAATTTATATAGATGTGTTATCCAAATTATTGGAGAAGACACGTCAAAGTCAATAATTTTTGTTATTTCTATTTATGGTTCACAATTTGTAGGTTTTACGAATACTTTCATCATCAGTTGTATTCACTCAATTTGTAAACTTCAACTACATTTTATATAGTTGCAATTTTTAAATCATGCATTTCTATCATAATCGCAGATTTGCAACTTAAAAATAGCAAATTTTATTTACAGATTTACACATTGTACGCTTTGTGGTTTGTAATAATTGCAATTTACAAATAACCTCATATTGACAAAATTTAAATATCGCATGCTGCTTATTCTTATGAATATGGTTTATGGATCACAGATTAAAATGCATAATTATGTGACTTACGAGTCACACATCAGTCATGATTTATAAGTGATCAAGACGACTCTATTTGTAATAATAAAACAGATTTTCTTACAGCTATTTATAATTTCAGAATTACTTTGGATAATAATTTTCCTTTAGAATTTTGTAATTAATCTTTTAATTCTAAATGTTTTAAAGGACTTTACTTAATTCAATCCATATTGAAGTGCGCATAAGTCGACCTATGCGGGGAAGAAAGGATTTTGTTCAAATATAGATGGCAGCACTAGATTATATTTTTTCATAATGCATTCATTCATTTATATTTTCATTTTTATTCAAAGGAGGATAACATTGAAATCTTTTTCAAGAGAGGACAGCATTGGGATGATTTAGTTTAACTTTGTTATTTTAAGAATCTGGCAATTTAAATTTTTTTTAGTTATTTTATCTGTAACTTTCAATTTGTAGATCTAATGTGTTATTCTAAGTACTTTTGGCTTAAGTGGTTTTTTATATATTTATAATTGTGTTTCCCTGGATTTTACTTTAATCTTTGAATTTTGTAGTATTATGTATTTATTCTTATTTTGTCTTCCATTATGGGACCTCATGACCTTTGGTTGAACCACTGACTACTCAAGTCAAAATTTTTGATGGTTTTCAATCGATGGACTTACATTAGAATAGCAACTTGTTCTGATGGTTTGTTCATGTTGAACAGTAGCAAATTTTCAGCATAGTTTCTTAGAAATCAAATGTTGGTTGGTAGATTGATTGAAGTTTGTTGGCATGTCAAAAACCATGAACACATAATGGAAAATGTGGGATGATGGTGAACCATCAAATGATGTTGGACCATCATGAATTGCACTTTTTGACAGGACCATCAAGAATTTTAACTCATGTTCATAAAAATCCCAGCATTTTAGCAAGGCAGTGTATCCCCTGAAAAAGTACTATTTTTGCTGGCGTGCTAATTTTTGAAATTTCGTTTGGTTTTTATTTCAGTTCTCCCATATTAATTTAAATTGTGTAAGACGACCTCAGAGAATAACTTTTCATGATGTTTCACCTCCATTGATATTTTAAAATTTAGACAAAAGAAAGTTTCAAATGCTGGAGAAAAATTGTTTCCAAATTATCAAAATGCAAACAAATTATAAATTATTGCCACATTGCGTAATCCTAAGAATGGTCCTGTAGTTTGTTTGTATTTTAGAAATTATGTTTGCAGCATTTGAAACTTCATGATTCACTCTTGCTTTATTGGAACTCGCTCTATTTTTTTTAAAAATTACTTAGGTAGTTGAACGGAAATTTGCCTTGAAGGATTTCTCATACAATATAGTGTCCTCTTAAGAGTGGATTTCTTTTAAATATTAATATATTTGATATAAAAAGCATCAAAACTTTTTTAATTTGTTTAATTGATTATGGTTGAGTTGTAATTGTTTGCTCTTTAAAAAATAGATTCTTTTCCAAATAAAAAAATTTAAAGTATTTAGACTATTTTTTCCCCTTTTTTTATTTTTTTTTGAAAAAAAAAAAATTTTTCTGTATCCTAAAAATCTGAGTTTTTTTTAAAAAATGTTTATTTTTTTTATGTAAGTGTAGAACTATCATAAACTATTATCAAATGTATATTTGCAAATCCATGTTGGTATGGTGCAAATTGCTCCCAATACAGTAATAAACAAAGGAATGATAATAAAATTATAAGTTAACATTTTCTGCTAGTACGTAAGTAGACTTTTTAAAGATACTAAAAAAATCATTAGCAATACTAAATTGTATTTGAAATATTTATCCATATTAACTGCAGGGGGGGGGAATTAGATTTACTATACACGTTTCTCTGTTTTTTGTAGGATGTTAAAGTGCAGAAGCAGACTGAAGACACGAGTAGGTAAGTAAACAGAATTTCTACTTGTTGTATATTCCTTGCAGGGATAGCAATGTTTCTTCAATGGGAAAAATAGGTTCCCCTTCAATTCAAGTGAAAGAAACTCTTTTTCAAAAAGAAACATCAGATGTTAAAGCACTTGTTTTAAACAGTTCATAATTTCTAACTAGCTTAAATAATAATTTTTATGCATATATCATTCTTAAATAAGTGAAAAATAAAAAGCAACCATTGGAATAAGAAATAAATTTAAAAAATCTCGCTTATGAAATCAATATAAATAAATGAAGTAAAACATTATTTTATAATTATAAGAAAAACTACTGAATAACAAGTCCCTTTAAATTAACAAATCTCATACTAAACATATTTTATAGTGTTGGATTCACATTGACGAACAGCATACTAATTTTTATTATAATCAAGCACTGTAAAGAACTCCCACTCTCAACTTTAATGTGATATTTGGATTTTAAAATTCTGTATGAAACTAAAAAAAAGAATATGAAAAAATTAATTTATTAAAAAAAAAATTTGAAAAAATGTTTTATATAAAATTTTTAAAATTTAAGCTATTCTTTTAACACTTATTTCTAAAATATTGTGTTGTTTTTTTTTTAGTTTTTTCCATTTTGTCCTGATTCTTTTGGATGAAATGCTAAATCACATAACTTAGAATGCATTAGCTCTGTATTTCTATGGAAACATTAATGTTATGCCCTACAATTACAGTTTGTTGTACGAGAAGAAATCATAAAGTGTTTCAGAATTTTTTTTTTTATTTAACATTTTTAAAAAATGCCTAATCAGTCATTTATTCTGTTTTAAAAATAGATTAATTTGTTACTTTATAGGGGGGGGGGGGATGTACAAATATAAATTTAAAGAATATGTGATTTTATTATTGTTTGCTTATTATGCTATACAATGGTTGCAAAGGTCTCAGGCTTATTGAATTTCTAAATTTGTTTCTTCTGAACTTTAGTTTGTTAATATTAATTTGTTGCGAATTTTTACTTAAAGATGTTGTTATATATCAACATGTTTTACCTATCCATTCATACAGTCGAACCTCTATTTAACGAAGTCTCTAATTCCTGATAATAAGTTTGTTATGTGGAAAATTCGTTAAATAGAAAATAACTTTTTAAAATACTTAAACAACACAAAGCATCTTTTAAATTCATAAACACTAGACATAATTAAAATAGCTATTAGTATAATAGGAAAAGAGATTTTACTGCTTTCCCTTAAAGTTAAGTGGCAATGAAAATTAATTCAAGGCCATTGCCCCCATAAAATGCATTAACAAGTTTGGGAAATATGAAAAGTGGATCTCAAAGAAAAGTTCATTAAATAGAAAATTCACTTCGTTATTTGGAAGTTATTTTACGAAGAAATTTCCAAAATGTTCTCGGTTCCTCAGGAAAAAATTACAAAATAGAGGAATTCTGAAAATGGAAGTTCGTTAAATAGAAATCCGACAGTTTTTTTTTTTCATTAAATAATTTCTTTAGAAACAATAAAATGAATGTGTTCATTGAAATTTACTCATCTGCCATTGCCCATGACAATCTAAATTCCATGAAGATGAAACTGAAATATGTACTTAGAAAATTCAGTTACAAAAAAATACACAACTCTATGCATGATTTCACCTGTTCATTCACATGTCACTATTAGATTAGAAAAAATAAAAAGAAATTAGCTTGATTTTAGAATATTTAGTATTATCACATTTTAGCTCATGGGGAAAAAAAATTTAAAAAAATATTTTTTTCATAGTTTAAGTGTAGGGAGTAAGCTTAGAATTACTACAAATTAGCAGCAAATTAAGAACAAAAACACAATTAGAATTGTGATGAAAAAAAGCATTTTATTTTATTTTATAACCGTCACTGACCAGCAGTCCCAATTTAGGATTTGCGACTATCATTATTCAACACTGTAGCCTTGTCATTTTGTACTCAATCCAGAAGACAAGTGAATTCCTAGATCAAGTATTAGGAGAAATTTGCCTTCATGTAGGACTTTTTGAGGGAACAGCATTTGCGTTACATGGAGAGGAAAACCTCTTTCCTATGGTTGGTGCGAGCTGTGTGCGGAATTTGCATGGAGCACCATCGCTGGGATTTGAACCCAGTTTACCTCATTAGAAGGCGAATGCTCTATCTCCTGAGCCACCCTGGCTCAAAAGCAAAGTATTACAAAATTTTTATTGTTCGAAGAGTCTTCCATCATTTTGCACTTGCATAACAGAAAGGAGTTGAATTTTTTTGTTTGTCAAGAATAGAAATGGATTCAGTGTTCTATCCCTTTACACTTGATTGAGGGTGGTTGTTGATGTGGTGGACCACTGATTATTATTACTCTGTGGCTTTATTCATATTGTGGTGGTCATAGGCTACTATTGAGTTTGGTCTCTGCTCAATTAGATTTGAAATTTTAATTCAATATTATCTGAATTTGAATGATTTTATTCCCTTTTTTTTTTTTACACACAAAGAGAACTTAATCTCTCAATTTTTTGTTAGATAAATAGCAAGTCAAATGTACCATCTATCAAAGTGTTCAGATCACTTCCGCAATTCACCAACGTGGGTAGATTATCTTTTGACAATGTCAAACTTCATCCATTTAAGATTGATCATCCCCCCCATATCACCCCAAGATTGAATAGAGTCAGCATGTCTAGATTTACATACTAGACTAGATACCATATTACAGGGTGCATAGCATTTTTAAAAAGTGCTTAAAGGTGCTAATTTTTTATTTAGGTTTCTTAAAAACCCTTATAGGTGCTTTTTTTATTTGGGGTTTGTAAAAAGTGCTTCATTTTCTATCTTTTAATAAGAAATTTTCACTTGCGGTATCGATTGTCACTCTAAATTACAAAAAAAAGCATGATTTTCATAATTTTCTCTGCAATATTTATCAGAAACTAGTTATTTTATCATGATTATGTAAAGTTTTTGAAAATGTTTTTTTTACTTTCATTGATTTTATGTTTATAAATTAAGAACTTTAAACAATAGAAAAAAATAATTTTTATTACTGCTTAAATTCTAATTCTGATTATTATTTTTTTTGGAAAATGATTAAAAAAAATTTTTGGAAGCTTAAAAAGTACTTAAAAATGCTTATCTTTTGTTGAAAAATCTGGCTATGCACCCTGTACTAGAAAATTGATGTTTAATAATGATAGTGGTAGACACGCTACATCTTTTTAAATGTACTTTTAATAAATCGAAAAGTAAAATTCAATATTTGTTTAATTAAAATATTCTCAAGTTTGGAAAATACTGTTTTTTTTACACACAAAGAGAACTTAATCTCGCAATTTTTTGTTCTCTCTCTTATGCCTTAACAGATTATTGTTTGAAAATGCCGTACATTCGATTCTCAATAAAATTTCCCACAAAGTGGGGGAAAACATGCTTTGCAACGTGTGGTCACTATACCACTAGTGCACATAAATGCCGTAGATATTAACTCATAGTTTCAAAAAATACATCCAATTTTAGCGAAGCTGTACTTTTATAAGAATTCAGTGACTAACAGAAAAATTGGTTATATAGTATATGTAAAAAGTATATATGTAATAGGGAGCTTTCATACACTCCCATGCATAAGATTTTAAGCAATTACGCTCTCTGCATATGCATCAATCTGGTGAAATGCCTATGCGGTTGTGAAAAAATATCAAAGTTACGTAAGTGAAAATAATAGATTTCGCCAAAAATCTGTAAATTAAAAATGCTAATGTAGCGGAATATCATTTTAACTTCGACTACAAGATTAAAACAAACATTTGCAATGGACGTAAATGATATCTTCGTTCAACCATTGTAATATGACACGATTCATTTCTATATTTTGTCAATATATTTCTTCAATTCCACATTCTATGTCTATGTTTTAAATTCATAGGTAGGCATCAACAGAAAACAAAATTTATCAGCTATAACCAACGTGCTTGTAGCTTTGTCTTTGTATCTTTAATCAGGCCAACTTAACGTAAAAATACATATCATCTGAAATAAATATGAGCATGCGCTGTTGATTAAAATCTTACGTATCGGAACGTATGGAGGCATACGTAAAAGTGTGAAATCTCCCTAATATATGTGAAAGTACCCTTTAATGTAATACTTTGTAGGTAAAAATGCATTAAAAATAATACGCTATTTCAGAACTACCTTTTTTGATAAATAACATATGTCAATATAACTAGTGATGGGGGTGATCAGTCCAACTGTGGTTAGTTAAGGTATAAAGCATATTTTTGGCCACCAATTTGAATATCATGTAGAGATAATATTTATCTCATAGAAATGAATAAAATTGATTTATTAAGTAAATATTAAATTAGAATATGGCCACATTCAAAAATATAAAAATAAAGGAATCCCTTAGAAAGGGGATCAAGAAAATCATTCTCTTTACATCGAGAATTTCTCTTAAGATTATTTCAACAGTTGGGACTGAGAGACCCAAAGGCCTCCCAGTTTAATCGCCTATCAATAGAAATTGAAATTAAATTAATTGTTCCCAACAGACAGTTAGGAGCATGGGAAGAGATCCCTGGTTGGTGATTTATAGAAAGATAGCATGGCCGACCTCCCATAATCAATGTTAAATTTGAAAATAATTTGGCAAAGGCGAATCGCCAAAAAAACTGTGAGAATTTGTATATTTAAAGTAATTGAAACATTTTTGTGGTAAGGAATAAAGTGTTATAAAATGATTTTTGTTTTCGATTTTGTTGTGACGAGGAATTAATGAATCTTATACATTAGTATGGAAATAAAAAGTTAACTGTTACGTTAATTGTTTAGAGAAGAATAAAATATTTTAAATCTGCTTTTTATAAAATGTAATAAAAATTAAATAATTGGTTTAATTTTATTAAAATTGGATTAAGATTGATTAAAAAATAGTACGTTTAAGAAATTAAATAAATTTTAAAAGCTAAGATATTTGTAATGCCTATTGTGGCGTCACATAACTGAAAGAAAAAAAAAACATTTATTTGAAAATAAGCCTCACATGTATAAAATTTTCAAACTGGAAAAGTATGATGGATAAATTTATTGTATCCTTTGACAAGAAAATTACACAAATTAGAAATGACCACAAGCTACAATCACCTAGGATACAGATTAAGGAGGTCATGTGGCTCTTTTTTTTTTCAAAGGTGTGTGGTAACATTAAAGGATGGTTTAAACTATATTTTAGTATAATTATATTTTAGTTACTATATTGGAATGACCGATTCACAGGGCATCTAATGAATCTAATGAAATGGCAAAAGTGACTAGTTTTGTTAACTCATGTACAATTACTCAATAAACAATTGTATTTGAGAAGTTTAAAATGTATCATTTCAAATTATTTGCAGTTATCAAGTAGTAATTGTGGGTGGTGTTCCTCAAAGATGTGTTCCTGGTAACCGAGATGATAAAAACAAAATTGTAAGTTATTTTTCCATTGGATTTCTTTAAAAAAATATTTAATACATCATTATATTTCATGCCATATTTTCTTTTCATGCATTTTTTTAGTCAACACCTTTGAGAAATAAACCAAAGTCTTTAGCTGAACGAAGTAAGTCCATTCTTAAAAATATATTATTTTGTAATTATAACTGTTTGCCTATTTTACTGAATCATAAAATCTTTCTTGCATGCGTGTTTAAAAAAAATCTTTATCTTTTTATCTAATAACTGAATCTAATTATCCCTTCTACTAAAAACTAAATATTATTTCATCTAGCATATTCGGTTGTGTAGGAACTTATCCCCATGGTTTAGATTAACTCCAAACCAGATTCTTAAGATTGGGCAAATTTTGAGGCAAACATTGATTTTTGTTAGGAATAAATACTTTGTTGAGGCAGTCCAAGGTGTGCTTCGAAGATGCTGGGATGTTGCAGTTTGACCGTGATGTTAAAGTTTTCATTCCATTTTCAAATCTCATTTCCTTGAGGTGACTAGTACTAAATCTACAAAGCATTGTTGAGATGCTTTGTGGATTTGTAAATTTATCACGCTTTATGCCTCAATCTTCAAAATTTCATCAGCAAATTTGATGGTTTACCACTGATATGCAGGAGCTTGATATTTGTCTAGTTTCTTTATCAAAGTGAAATAACTATTACAAATGAGATAATTATTTTCAGAGAGAGAGAGGTCTCATGTTCTCTTTAATTCCTTATAGATCTTTGACTCCGGATTTCACCAAACCGTCAGCCCTTTTATTATCTCGTACACGTGGAGGGACCCACTGGAAAACTAGATCTGATTTTTTATGAAAATTCATTATATGGCAAGCTATATTTTTCAGGAGTGTATTTTAACTAGTGAAACATACTTTAATGTCTGGGATTGCTGTGAAGTAGTTAGTTTTAAGAAGATCTTTTAGTACATCATGTAAAGTGTGCAACAAAATAAACCAGGGATGTGATTCTTCCGCGGATTTCCGCTTTTTGTCAGATTTTTCCCGCTAATTTCCGCGGAAATTGTTTTTTGGACAAGTTAAAATATTTTATGAGGAATTTTTTTTTTTGAAAATTCAGTCTTCGAAATAAAATAATCATATTTATTTACGATTTTCAAGGATAAACAGAAAATTCAAACTATGTCCTAGCTGCTAACCCTTCCGTATTTTAGCTATTTTCTCCTCTTTTACACACAGAAAATAAGATTTTCCGTATTTTTATTCGTCCGCCGGATAGCTCGTTTTTGCGCAATTCAGACGTCGTGACCCTGCTGTCTGGCGCAAAAACAAACGAAAAAATATATATATATATAGACATGGATTTGTGGTGAAAATATTTATTTGCTCATTCAATTAATCTTGAAAATTTCTATTTATTAGGTCTAAACAAAAACAATACTAACAAGCCTTTTAGAAATCGCAAGTCCAGACTCTGCAAATATCTCGATTGTTATTCACGCGATTTTAATATCAATCATCGATTTTCGTATTTATCTGATTTAAAAGTTGCGCATTGCGATCCTTATTTATGCTATTTAAACATCGTGCATTATGATTCTTATTTACGAGATTTGAAAATCCAATATCGCGTTTTGTATTTATGCATTTTTAAAATAGCGATTTTATTATCAAACATCGATTTTCATATTTACCGGATTTGAAAGTTGAACATTGCTATTCTTATTCAGCCGATTTAAATATCGTAAATTGCGATTCTTATTTACGAGATTTAAAAATCCAATATAGCGATTTGTATTTATATGCTTTTAAAACTCTATGTAGCGATTCGTATTCACGTGAGCTTAAAATCCAATGTCGTGGTTCGCTATTGCTGTTGTAATATCAAACGTCGATTTTCGTAATTATACGTGCTTTAAAAATTAGACATTGTGATTTGTATTCACGCGAATCAAAAATTATGCATTGTGATTCGTATTTATGTGATCGAAAAATTACACATCATGATTCGTATTTTTGCATTTTTTAAAATTCGATATAGAGTTTCATATTCATACAATTTTAAAATTAATCATCGGGATTTATAATCACATGGCTAAAATCGCACTTTTTTCGTCAAATTTTTTTGTGTGTATATATATATATATATATATATTCTTTCATTCTTAGATTTCCTCTTTTTTACTTTCTGACCACTCACATTCCTGATAAACGCACCACCCTTAATAATTTTTGATCTAATAACTGAATCTTTACATTCTATACTCAATCTTAATGGTTCGAGTGACCTCAAATATGCTTATCAATAAGTGCAGACAATACTTTAAGTTACCAAATCAGATATGAAAACATACTTCCTCGGAATCAACATTTCTTTTTTCCAATGGATTTTGATTTCTAATCCGCAAAATAGAGTTTAGTCAGGAGTGTTGTGTATTTCACTATATCTCTGGAACTTTTTAAGCGAAATGAAAATTTTTTGCACTCAATTATAAAACTCATTTGTCCAAAGATAATTCAAAAAATAAATTTTGAATATAATATTACATGGCAAAATACAAAATTTGAGAAAAATCGGTTGAATAATACCTGAGGAATCGAATTTTAAATATCTGACTTTTTTGAAATTCCTTCTTCTTGAAGCTCCTTCTTCTACTTTGCCCAATAGATTTCAGATACTTCAACTTTTTCCGCCTACTCTAGTATAGTACCTAATTTGCATACCCTTATTTTGATGATTAACGTTTCTTATCGGTCAAAGAAAAGCTATTCAGAGTTACTACAGTGTGTCAAAAAAGGAGGATTACCCTGAGTAACTTTTGATATAATGATCTTATTTTAACATACTTAGACTCAATCTTAATGGTTCAAAAGTCTCATCTTAAATAAAAATTAGTCTAATAGTTTAAGTTATAAAATTTCAAAGATTTGTATTCCTTACAATTCAAAAAAATTCTTTGTCTTGGATAAACGCATTTTATAATTACATGCAAAAAAAAATTTTATTTGATCCAAAAAAATTTTGAAATAGTGAAATGCGCCAAAAGTAAATTTAAGTTAAAGGGATTCAAACTTTTGACCTCTCACCTGACCCAACTGTTGGAACTATATTTCCCAAATAGCTGCTCCCATCTATATTTTAGGGGTCAGAAATCATATTCCGTTGAAAAAAAGAAATGTATATTCAGAGAAACTCCATTTTTGTGTGTTTTGTAACTTAAAATATTTTTTCGACCATTATTATATAAAATGAGAAATAAATACTAGAAGTTTTATTTTTCATGGAATAATCTTTGGATGGACGAGTTTTATATAGAAAAAATTTGATCCGCTTGAAAAGTTCTCGAGATATGGTGAAATGCACAAAAAATAAAATTAAGGCATTGAAATTTGGACCACTCTCACAACCTAACTGTTGGGATCCAAGACTACAGCTATATTTTAGAAGGTCATAAATTGGAATCCTTCATAAAAAGTTTATTCAGAGACCAGTAGGTTTATGATTTTATAAATATTGTCTGCACTAATTAATTAGCATATTTGAGGAACCATTACGATTGAGTCTTAGTGTGTAAAAATCCAATCAAAAGTTATTCTTTATGCACTGTACATAAACTGATTCCATTACTTAATTCATTGGTAGCATTATAAGATTGGTAATTGGCCGAGAACTTTTGTGGATAATATGTATATTATTGTTTTCAGGAAACAGACGTATATCTTGTAGAGATCTTGGAGAGGGTGACTGTGAAGGTTGGCTCTATAGACAGAAGGAGAGGAAGGGACTCCTCCCTACTATTCATCAATGGACTAAACGATGGATAGTTTTAAAAGACTATTTCTTATACATTTATAAAGATAAAAGCGTAAGTCCCTTTTCCTTACTTTAGAATATGCTTGTCAGGCATTAATAAATAACTTTGTGCCAAATCGGTATTTTTTAAGCATCTCTTTGAGCAATTCTTTGTACAACAATTACACATTTTTCTTTCGAACAATTTCTTTGTGCATCAATCGTATTTCTGTGACTAAAAAGTTTTCTGAAGCATCTTTTCCCTTTCTTTTAATTTCTCACTGCTCATTTGTGTAGGTGTGTTCGATCACCAGTAAAGTTTTGCCCTCTTATTCATAGTCATTCTGTATCTCTTTACTTTTCATTTCTTTTTGATACTGAAAACTAATTTATGCTCATAGCAACCATTTTCATTTGTCATTTTAGCATTAACCTCTTTACTGTCATGCTTGAAATAATCTCAGGCGCAGCACTGGTGTTCCAAAATGTCTCACCCGAGTATTAGTCGGCGTAATTTTTTTTTTTTTTTTTTTTTAATGTATCATTGTTATATACCCAAATAAGATCTGCTTCATCTCTTTGTCCAACCCGAATCTATCGCGGGTATTAATTTAGAACAATAGATTACAGCACTTTACTGAAGGTTTCAAAGGAGAAAGGTTTATGTTCAAAGTGTGTGGCATTTTTTTTTGTTGCAAAATGGCGTCCAGTTCTTTGAAACGGTATATAGATTATTTATTTTTTTAGAAAATAATTAATTTTTTTTAATTATAAGAAAATAATGCTCCATTAAAAGAGAACTTTACCACTGCTACACTGAGTGGCAACTGCATCAAGAGAATATGCAGTGGCTACAAAACCTTCACATTTTTATGCCTGTAATTCAAACTATCAATTTTTAACTACTAAGTATGTTTTATTTTGTACTAAACATTTGATTTTTGCAATGAAAAAAATTTACAATTTATGTACCCAAATCACCAACATAACTTGGCAATTAAATTTTTTTTTGTTCAAACATTTCACTGCAATATGGTTCAAAATAAATAAGTTTTACATAAACATCTTACATTTTTCTAGACTGACATACTGAATAGAAGATCTGTCTATATTTTGAAAAATTAAAAAATTGTCAATAAAAATAATGCTTTTCAATTTTCAAAATTGTGTTAAAAAAAATTGGAAACATATGGAAGTTTTATTTCTTTAAAATAGAATGGTGATCTTATTATTATTTTTTTTTGTTATCCCAAGTTTTGTTTTTATTTTTATCAATTTAATTTTTTTTCATCAAATAAAAAAGGTGTCCATTTTTTTTTCTATTTCTAAAAAACATTCAGCTATTCAGCAGTAATTATTTTCTTACTTTAGGACACAAAAGCGGAATGCCTCATATCACTACCTGGATCAGTAGTCTCTCCCGTTATTGAGTGCAAGACAAAAAAATTGTATGTATTGAATGAAAATTGTATCTAATTGCATGCGTACATATCTTTGCTTGTATAATCTTAATTATGATTCCTTTTTCAGTGCATTTAAAATTTGTCGACAACAAATGAATTTTTATTTGGCAACTGAGTCTAAGAAAGATTTAACAAAGTAAGTATGTCATTGGAAATATTCACTTATTTTGATATCTTTGTGGGGAGAGTATCTTCTGACAATGTCAAACTTCATTCATCAGATGGTACCTCTAGATTGAATCTAGTTAGAGTGTCTTAAATACTAGTGAACTGTTATTTAATAATTGTAGCGGTAAACACGCTATGGTACTCCCCCCCCCCCTACCAGAATTTCATCTGTGATAGAATTCGATGAATATGGATACCTCTTAGTTGAGTCATTGCTGTTTTCTCGAGAATCCAGGGGAGATGTATTAAGATCACCAGATTTTGAATACTGATCGTGAGAGCTGCATTAAGATCAAGGTTGGGTGCATTGTCGCTCCTGCGTTGCTATTAGCAGGCGAGTGTGGACAATGTCACGGTAAAAAATAGCAAGTCAAATGTACCGTCTATCAAAGTGTACAGATCACTTCCGCAATTCACCGACATGGGTAGATTATCTTTCGACAATGTCAAACTTCATCCATTTAAGATTGATCATCCCCCCCATATCACCCCAAGATTGAATAGAGTCAGCATGTCTAGATTTACATACTAGACTAGATACCATACTACTGGGTGCGTAGCATTTTTAAAAAATCCTTAAAGGTGGTTTTTTTATTTGGGGTTTGTAAAAAGTGCTTCATTTTCTATCTTTTAATAAGAAATTTTCTTTTGCGGTATCGATTGTCATTCTAAATTACAAAAAAAGCATGATTTTCATAATTTTCTCTGCAATATTTATCAGAAACTAGTTGTTTTATCATGGATTATGTAAAGTTTTTGAAAATGTTTTTTTACTTTCATTGATTTTATGTTTATAAATTAGGAACTTTAAACAATAGAAAAAAATAATTTTTATTACTGCTTAAATACTAATTCTGATTTTTATAAGTGATTAAAAATATTTTTTGAAAGCTTAAAAAGTACTTAAAAATGCTTATTTTTTGTTGAAAAATCTGTCTACGCACCCTGTACTAGAAAATTGATGTTTAATAATGGTAGTGGTAGACACGCTACATCTTTTTAAATGTACTTTTAATAAATCGAAAAGTAAAATTAGATATTTGTTTAATTAAAATATTCTCAAGTTTGGAAAATATTGTTTTCCCCTTAACAGTTCGTTATTAAGTTACAAAATCATTAAATAAGATGGAATGGGGTTGTATCATTAAAATATTCCAAAAATTTTTATATTTTGTATATATTTCCATGTGTAACTTATTTAAATGAAATGTTACTTCACTTTTTGATTATTTTATGCCTCGTAGTATGCAATATTTTTAATTCTATGCTAGATATGTCTTAAAACATTTGAAGAATTAATATTTTTTGTTAGATAATGGGAATTGAATTTTTTTGTCGAAATTTTTATGTATCAAAAATAAATAAGTTGTAGCAATTTTTTTTTATTTGTCTTTAGTTTCTGGTGAAGTTAAGGCTCAAAGTAATTATGGAACAAAATTATAAATTATAGTAGGTAGTAATTATAGTGAGCAACAATAATTATAGTTGTCAAAGTAATCATAGTAAGCGATTTGTATGCAGTTTATCTTCTAAATATGCACATTTTTCTTTGGAAAAAAAAAAAACAGAATTTTTTTCTTGAAAAACAGCAGATGTAAGAATACCTTTTGGCAGAGCCATGATAGCCTGGTTAGTACCGCACTGGGTCCATGTCTAAGAGATTGTGGGTTCAATCCCCGCCGGCCGAGGACTCACCGTGCAGTAAGTGGTGACTGATGCACGTTAAATCTGTCGAGTCACTAAGTCCACCAAGTTCCCATAACAAATCATTCGTCTGGGGGTACTGATACAGGAGCTTCCTTGTCTTCTGTATTGGGTTCAAAATTACAAGGCTACGGTGTTGAACTTTAGTAGTCATAAAACCAAAATTGGGTCGACTGTTCAACGGCGGATATAAAATAAAATACCTTTTGACAGAGCCGCGATAGACCTTTCAGAGGTCTTTTTTATTATCTTCTCAATTTGAGCCTTGAGGACTCAGGGGATAGAGTGTTCGCCTTCCACTGAGGTGAAAAGGCTTCAAATCCCATTGATGGCTGGTCGATACGTGTTCCGCATCCGGCTTGCAGCTACCGCAGTGATGATGTAAAATATCCTCAGTGGTAGAGGGGCCGTTCAAAAAGTACGTAGGGGGAGGGGATTTGCTATTTTGCACGGTTTGGTAGGATGGGGAGGGGGGGAGGTATTATATGAAGTACGTACACTATAAGCATACATCAAATTTAAATTTGACTTTGACGAATAAATTATTTTAAATAAATATTTAATTTTATTTAAAACATAATTATTTTAATTTTTATGAAACAGGGGGTAGACTAATAAAATGTATGTACTCTGGGGGGGGGAGTATGACCTTATGTACGAAGGGGGGAGTGTTAAAATTTCTCCATTTTTGTGTACGTACTTTTTGAACGGCCCCAGACGGATTATGGGTTAAAATCCCCTAGCTGTCAGGCTAACCCAGAGTGGTTATTATTATTTTTTTATATAAATATCTTCTAGTTTAATAATATTTTGATGTTATCATATGTTTTTTTTTATTGTTGGATGAATAAGATTAGCTTAGCTGCAATAGCATACCACCCAAACAAGGATGTAACACAGATTTTGTGTAAACTTTTTATACCTAATAAAATAAAAAGTTTACATTAAAACTCTGTCAAAATTGAAACAGTTTCTCATTTTTATAAAAAAAAATAAGATTAAACTATTTCTTTTTTCTCAATAAATATCTTCTAGTTTAATAATATTCTGATATGTATGCTTTTTTTTTTTCAGTTGGATGAATAAGATTAGCTTAGCTGCCATAGCATACCACCCAAACAAGGACGTAACTACTTATACCTCTTTGAAATCGGATAGTAGCTCAAGTTAGTACTTTTGAAGTCTTTGTATTATTACTTTTAACTATCTGAAAATTGTTATATGTAAAAAGAAAAAAGAAACTTCTTTTTTTCTGTTTCTTCTAATAATGATCAACTAATGCAAAGAAAATGCAATTATTGCTCCTTTTTTGCCAAAATCTAGACAGAAACAAACAAAAAAAATAAAATAAATAAATAAAAATTTCAAATATGTAGACAGTTGGACAATCATCATGTTTTACTGCGCTATATTTCTTTCTGAAAGTGTAATTGAGATCATAAATTATTTCTATTTACTAAGTTATGAAAACTACTGTCTAATGTATATGTTACCTTGAATGACCGAAATGTCGACTTTCACCTCTGAATGGAACAATCACATAGTCAGTGAATGTCTGAAATATTTGTTATATTCAATTTGATATTAATTTATTCGTTGATATTATTATATTTATTCGATATTCTTAATATCTGCTGAGGATAGATAAGAAGAAACATGAGTGTTCGGAGTACCGGTTAAATGCATACTGGGCAGTGTCACTTGACCTTAAAAAAGACAGTGATGTGAGGCATACTGAACAGTGGCACTTAAATAGAACTTGTATATATTTTGGACATTTACCAAAGTGATTATGTGATTGCATCATTCGTCCATGGAAGTCAACGATTACCGATTTCGATCATTCACAGTAGCATATATATGTTATGTTGTAGGTATTGATCAAAGCTAATGTTAAGAACAGCAGATGTCCTCAGGTTACGGGGGTCTCAGTATTAGTCCCTGAGGCAGGATTGTTGATTACTAATTAGGACTTAGGTAATATCCATCTTAAGAGATCACCCCTTTTTTGGAATGTTTTCCTTAAGTTAGGGCTTTCAAAACAAGATTATTTTCTTTGCTTCATACTAAATTTCATATTTAAAATATGAGAGATAAAAATCTGTCTTAATCTTAAGGGCTCACTTTTTTTTGATGCATTTCTGTTAAAATTAAGTGGAATATTTTCATTTTCAAAAATCCTAAAAGTCTAATTGTTATAAAATTGAAAACAATTATAAATGTTCATCATATAAAAAAAAATGTGATAAGAACTTTTGATGTAATTATAAGGGCAATTTAAAAATAAAGAACATTCTGGAAAATATTTGTTAAACTTTTTATGTTATTGGACAGCATGGCATAACATAGTATGATTAGATCAAATCAATCAATTATATCCATATCAACTATATTGATGTACAATAAAATAAGATCAATCCTTTAAAAAAAAAGTTTTAGCTCGATTTTTAGAAAACATTTACCCTTAGCTTTCTTGACAACTTCTGATATGATTAAATTCTGCTAATTTTCCTTCCCTACTGTCTCTGGTGTCGTCCACTCTTTGCTTTAAATTCAGTAATAACCAATGAAATCTTCAGTCTCCTGGTTAATCAGCTGTGTACTCATGCATTACTTTTTTCTTTCCTTTGGCTCAGCAACCTTAATTTATCTTGGCTTTCATAATCATTTTATTTCTACCAAGTATTCGATTCTACTTCAGTGCAGATGAAAATAAATAAATGTTATTACTTCTTTTCAGATCAATTCTACAGCGAAACAGATGATAGTGAAAATGGTAGTCCGACACTGACGAGACGCATTGCCTGTGAGGGTGAAAAAAATGCATTTGCCTACGAGTCTTTGTTGAGTAATCAGAAATGGGGCAAGACAACTTACTCAGGGTATAAGAACGTTCCTACTGCTGAGGAAGAACTCGAAGTTCCACAGTACAACAATCGTAATTTCTCCTCTTCATCTGTGTTTCATAGAAATACAGAAAATACAGTTCCAAAATCATCGAATACTCTAAGTGTACACCCTTTCAATGACTCATTTTCTTCTGGAAGCAGTATTAATAATTATTCTGAAAACTCTATTTCGTCATCGTATAATGTGACATCCAGCAGTATTGAATCGAACATTCATTTAAACGGCGAGAAGAGATGTGCCATTGGGAGGAGTAAAAATCCTCCCCAATATGATTCCACGGGAGCTTGTTTGAGGACCTCGGACAGGAGCGCCCTCGCCGCCGAGTATGATGCAGCGACGTCCTCTTTGGGCAGACCTCAGAAACCTGTCGTGAAGGAAATAGCTCCGGGGCTCGTTGCAAGAATGGCCGTTTCTTACACAAATTTGAGTAAAAATAATGGCACTGGAGGTAATAAATTAGAACTGTCGAAGAGCGTGTCGTCTCCCAGATACGTTACGAAAATATCGGACTCCTACAATTATTTAGTGAGAAACTCCAATAAATTACCTGATCAGAATAGTTCTTGGATAAAGAAGGATGAATCTTACGGCTGCAAGAGGAGTGCCTCTGAAAGTCAGGTTACAAAAACAGATGGTGCTGTGAGTAAATTTTCTAACTCTTTGAGCAACGAAATGGGGAATGAAGACACGGGGTACCGCTACAAACAAATAAATTTACCCCACCGAGAGCAAAAAGTCTTCAGTCTGCTTGACAGAGAGTACAACAAAGTTTTTGAAGGAAAGAAGGTGTCGCAGCATCAGCTCAAATCGACGTCCAATCAGAACAAGTTGCTCCAATCTATTAAAACGGAACAAAGGGTTGCCGCGAGCCATTCGGAAAGTTTCCATTCGATCAACCTCAATCAAAATATTAAAAATAGTTTCAGTGATTTCGAAAATGTGTCTGCGTCCAGGTATGACCATAAAAACATATCCAATAAAGGTTTCTCTTTACCCAGTGGTGGTAATGTTTCTGATGAATTTCATTATCAGTATGGCCACTCTAATCAGTTAAAGGCTAAAATTTTATCTTCTTGCAGTCGACTCAAGAGCTTTGGATTTAACTCCGAAGACTCGATTAAATCGGAAGATTCCGGCTCGAAGATTTCACGGCCGTCTCTCGTCGTAGATTCAGAACATTGTGGAAATTCTGTGAGTTCGTGCGAATTAAACGACGTGTCCGAAGCGACCTCCTCGGACGTCGACTCTCCCAAAATGGCTTTCAAGTTCTTCAATTCTCCAAAATTCATGAAAAAGCTAACGTCTCCTAAAGTTGATAAAAAAAATATATTCAAAATCAAGAAACAAGCAAAGGAGCAGAAGAAATCGATCGAACAACAGAAAGAGAACAAACTTCGTCAGAACGAGAAAAAGTTCTTCGGGTCCCCGAAGCTGGTCAGGTCGTTCTTCAGCTCGCCCAAGACGGAGAAGAAGGTGGTGACAGTTTCTTCCAGCGTACAAACAGATATTGCACTCATGCCAGCTATTCATGCAGATACGACTGACAGACACTGTGACTTCAACAGTAATAAAAATACTGTTGAGTTGGAGTTGACTCCGAGTGTGACGTCTCGTTTGGACGAAGAAGTCAACATCTCCAAAAGCAGCAGCAACAGCAGTTTGACGAGCAGCATCTCGAACTTTCCTTTCACCAACTCTGTTTATTACGTGGAAGCAAAGATTGAACCCCAGATAACTATCACTTTGCCTCTTGTTCCTGACAACAAGTCATCCCCAGTGGAACTGTCTCGCACGCCACTGAAACCAATGATGGGCGTGGCTATGCTTGGTAAAAAGCGACTTCCCAGTGTCAGTGGAGAAAGTACAATTTCGGCGTCTTCTAAGCATTCTCAAGATATTTCATCCAATGAAGCAAATGAGGTTTTGTCAGAGATCTCCATGGAAATAAAAGGTAACTTTATTAGTTGTTCATGGGTTGAAAGTAACATAATAAATACAGTGTAACGTCCCATATCTGGACGTTCCTTCTCCGGAAGGGTCGATTTCCCGAACACTTTTGAACAATCAAAATAAACAAACATCTCTTCATCTTCCCCTCTCTTAAAAAGAAAAGAAGAATAGGTCTATTGACACGCTTTCTCTTTTTCTTGCTTGCATTGAACCCATAAATTACCAGAAAGGGGAATAGAAGATCTACCAAGACCGTCAAGTGACCGTTACTGACGCTCCTCCTCTGGAATGAAGGAAGAGAGGGAGTTTTGTTTACAAAAAGGGCAACTTAATCCCCTGCCCCCTCTCCTTTCCTATACAGCTGACTAGTAAAAGAGGCATTTCCTGGAAAAGGGTAAACGCGGCAAACATTAACAAGGAGGGAGAGTCAAAATGAAAAATTTGAGTAGGTCTAAAAGGATACATGTCCTTGAGAAACATTCGTTCTTCCCTGTAATATTTAGGAGGCGTAGGGACAAAAGGGGGTAACATTTTTTCTTTTATCAGATTCTCTCAGTCATACAAGATGAAGTAAAGAGAACGCGATCAGCATGTCACGCCTTTTCACTTGATTGATAGCCAATGATTGGAGAGAAAACAATAATTTGTCACTTCCCAGCCCTCAAGTTGAATTATCTCCTCTTTAGGCATATTTCTCTGGCAATTGGGAGGAAATTAATTTTTCTCCTCCACCTACCCACCTTAATGAATGACGGGAATTTCGCCATCTTGCTTGAATCGTTCTAGTTCAAAATGGCGTTAATATTTTCATAACTGTCAAATTTTTTATCGTTTTTTAAAATTTAAGCAATAATTTTTTTTTCTAATATTTTATTTTTGATTGATTAGATATTCTAATACTAAAGCATTATTGCTCAAAAAATAATGTTTATTTATTTTTTGCTTCTTAGATTCAGATCGTTTATTAGATCATTTTAAGCTTTGTTTACCTTGGAGGTCTATTATACAGAAAAATCTATTATCCGGACTTCTGGAAGTCCCACTAATTCCGGATACGCGACTTTCCACTGTATTTCAAATCTGCAAGCCGACTGTCTGACATTTATAAACAAACTGATTGACCAAGTACCTCAACATGCATACTCTAGCACTAAAAGTAATTGTTTACAAAGTCAAAGAATAGAAAGAGTTCTTTCTTATAAAAAAGGGTCTCACCTTTAAATTGTAATTTCTTATTTATGGTCGAGCACTCATGGTTTCATCCCACCCGAAAAGGGTTTAATGAGCCTTAACTATAGTAGCATTTTTTTTTTACAATTTAATTTTATAAGTAAGAGTACAGTGAAAAAATGTAAGTTTATGTAGCTCATCAATAAAATATGCTAAAACAATAAGAGCTTTAAAAATAGATAATTATAAAATAATAGCAAGTTTCAGTTTAAAAAAAAATAAAACACGAGTCACCGTGAAAAGAAATAAATTCAGATTAAAATAATAATGAATTTAGAATCCAAATTGAACCCAGCCTGTTAGCATAGATAACACAAGTAAATAAAATCCAATTCAAAACAAATTTTGGTTGGGAGTCTTCCAATATCTAATGAATGTTTGTGCCAATATTTGTAACTTTAGAGACAACAGCGAAACTTTTTGTTTGTAATTTTTCCCCAAATTCAACACAAATGATAATAAGTATGAAAAAATAAATCATTTTTGTTGTATCTTGCGTGTTATGCTCTGACGTACTTTACCTGTTGTTGGTTTTTAGTTCTGTATTGTCAAATAATAGCATTAACTAAGTCATAACATTTGCTAGCTATGGAAGGTATATAGATAACACCGTGACCTGAGTCCAGGAGTCTATGAAGGGTCATGCAAGTTTCCAGGCACCATGGCTTGATTTGCACAACAGTATTCAGCAGCTGTTGGAGCAATTTGTCCTATTCCTCTGTCAGTGCACAAATGAGGGCGTCCTTGTTTATTGCAGGGCATTCTTGACCAGCAACGCTCCTCCTCAAAGCATCCCATACATTTTCAATGGGATTTAGATCAGAGGAGCGTGCTGGCCATATGAGGTGGTGAATGTTCTGGCTCTGTACATACTCCATGACAGCTACTGTTTGATGACATGTTGCATTGTTGTCCATAAAAACATCAAAACAGCACAGAACAAGCTAACGTGAGGCGGTAGAATATCATTAGCGCTGCAATGGTATGCACTCAATAGGCTGGTGGCTGTGCAGTCCTTTTGCTTATTAGTGCCTGGCTACAGTTTTTCAGGAGATTCGCTTGTCAGTAGCAGCATGAAATTGATTTGGTGCCTGACTGGCTGTACTGCGGCAGAGAGTTTTGTTGATAACACTATATCTGTCTTTCGCAGGCATCTTACATGGAACACGATCTCCCATGTGATGTGTGCTATACATCCCAGTTTTTTTTTTATTATTTCCTAAGCCTTGGAAAAACACTGTGGTGGATGTCAAACTCTTTGAAAACATCTGGTTTTTTTTTTTAGCTTGCTGATAATATGGCCATGCGTAAAATTATCAAAATAATGTTAGGAAGGCATATAAAAAAATTGCTAATCCTTAATATCCCTTGTCAGCGTTGTGATGTGACAAACCAGTTCAACAACCCAAAATTTGCATACAGAAAACACGTCTTACTGTATCTTGCATTTTCCTACCTTCAATTTTGTGGTTTCTATCTTTGCTATTATGATCCTTCCTTAGCAATTGCCTAACAGTGTATAACCTTGTTGTTAAATGAAGTAATATTTTAAGCTTTTCTTAAATGAATAAACCACTTTATTGTGTTTAATTATGTTAAAAGGTTTGGTTATTACATGTAGAATTATTTGCCAGTGAATAACCAATATAGACCAACTATAATTGTAGGTGATGATTATGAATTCAAAGGTGATAACATATCTGTGCCAAACTTTGATGAATCAGAAGACTCACAAACATCTTTCAGTGAGGTCAGAATTTTTTTATATTCTTTCTTTATACAAATATATTGAAACTAAGAATGCATTATACTATTTATGATTTTTCTGTTTCCCTCTTTTTATATATATAAACCTACATTATTTCTATTTAAATTGTTAATTTGTGATTAAATTTACGAAATAAAGTATGAGACTGCTCTGCACAATAGGGTGGGTTGAAAAATCTTAGCATTATTGCCTCTATTAATGGTAGTGCTAAAAAGTTGTAAAATACCAGAAATTTATAACTCTATATTATAATTGTTCTGCTGCCACGTAACATTTGACTTAAGAGGCTTTAAAAAAAATTTTAGCAATTTTTTTTTTATTGGCTTAAAGTTGTCCTTAAAAGAAAGTGTACTGAAATTTTTGTTAACAGCAAGTATAAATATTATTTATCTAAAGGAGAATTGAAGAAATTTCAAATTCAGAAATTTTGTTATATGCCTTGAAACAAGGTATGTAACAAAATGTACGCCTAAGTCTTCAAAGCGTGTCAAGTATGGTATTAGTTTAGACAATTACCCTTGAATTGATGGTATAGAACATTCCATGTGAGAGAGATACATAAAAAGCTCTCTTTTTCTTCCTCCTTCGCTATATCATACTCAACTAATTTTAACGAAGGAATCTTCATATTACGCTTCTACGTAACAATTTTCTTTGTTTATACTATTTTATCCCACTTTATATACACAGTCCAGTCACATTAATGTGACCACCACCTACCTTCGACGTCAACGTGAAATAACCAATCACAGAAGGCAGGTGGCAGCATATTACAGTAGAGTGTATATAAAGGATGTCCTAGGACATCGGAAAACATTTCAAGCATTGGCATAATGCAAAAACGTAGCGATTTATCCGACGTCCAAAAGGGCATGGTTGTTGGCTTTCGGGCTAAGTGTGGAAGCATTTCGGAAACGGCTAATTTTGTGAACTGTTCGCGTGCCACCGTGGTGAAAGTATACCGTTCATGGTAAAATGGCACTATCCAAAATCAGGGGCTTGGCACATGCGGTGCACAACGGGCTATAGATGACAGAGGCGTAGGAAAGCTACAGAGATGCATTCGGGTGAATAGACGTGCAACTGTTGAGCAACTGACCGCCCAGATGAGCCAAGGGGCTACCAAGTGTGTATCCTCAACAACGGTTCAGCGAATGTTGCTGTGCATGGGCCTCCGCTTCAGAAGCCTAGTTAATGCATCTATGCTGACTGCTGTTCATCGGTGACGAATGCTGGAATTTGCATGCCAGTACCGCAACTGGACGTCCACATAGTGGTGACAGGTGGCTTTTTCCGATGAATCACATTTTATGCTCCATCGAACAGCTGGACGTTGGCGTACACGGCATGAAACGTCTGAAAGCAAACACCCTGTAACAATTGCCGGAAGAATCCAGGCTGAAGGAGGGAGCATTATGGTTTGGGGAATGTTTTCCTGGCATTCACTGGGTGCACTCATCATTGTGGAAGAAGCGATGGATCAGCACAAGTACGCATCTGCCCTTGCGGACCATGTCCACCCCTACATGCGAATGATTTTTCCTCAGAATGATGGCATCTACCAGCGGGATGAGGCGAGGTGTCATACAGCTCACAGTGTATGTGTGTGGTACGAAGAGCACAAGGATGAGTTTACCGTACTTACCTGGCCAGCAAACTCACCGGATTTAAACCCAATCGAGAATCTGTGGGACCACCTCTATCGGGTTGCTCGTGCCACATATCCTCAAACGCGTAATATAGCGCAGCTGGCTATGGCACTGGAGTCAGCATGGCTCAACATTCCAGTGACAGGTGGTCACATTAATGTGACTGGACTGTGTATATATATATATATACACACACACACAAAGAGATAAACTCTTTCAAAATTTGATAAAAAAAACAATGGATATCCAGCTAAAATAATTCAATTCTATATTAAATTATTGAGTTAATTGTATATTATTGTAAATAAATTTACTAAAAAACTTCTTTGTTAATTTATATAATTTTTACCATGTGCAAATCCATTTCAGGCAAATCCAAATCTAAAATTATGTGCAAAACAGGCAATTCATGTTTCTTTCTCTTTTCTATTTTATTTTTTTCTTAAATAAAAGTTAATTTTCTAAAATTATTAATTGTCAACTTCTTTAAATTATCCAGTATAATACTACCTTGTGCACATCCATTTTCGGGGCCCATCCTTGGTAACTAACAAATCAAACGCACTTCAGTACTGCAGTAAGAACTCACTATAAAATAAAATCCCTCTATTTACGCTTTTACCTCAATTTGCAGTTCTGTTTTTATATTTTATAATCTGGCAATCTTGTTCCAAATATATTTTAAATCATTCTTGAAAAATTTCCTGTTCATGTGAATTCATTTGAATTTGATACTCGCTTTATAGATTTCGTTTTATGTTTTATTCTGTTTTTTCTTAATATTTTATTTTCTGTTTTTACGTGATATTTTTCTTAATGTGTTTTATTTTATTTGTAGTAAATGTTTTGTAAAATTTTTTTGAGTGCTCCTCACACCATTGTATTGATAGATTTTGCTTTGGCTATATTGATACAATATTAGAAAACACTAATTTTTGTGGATATAATCGTATGAGCTGATGAAAAGATTATAACTTTTATTCTCCGGATTTTTATTATTATTTTTTTCCCCTTTTTTTATTGTTCTGTAATTTTTCCATGTCAAAATGTTTCTTTTTCTACTTAAGTGTAGAAACTATTACCAATTGTGTATCTGCAAATCCATGTTGGTATCCTAGAAATTACTCCCATTAAAGAATCAGCATCCTTAAATTTGGAGTCCTTAATTTTTATATTCTCGACTTCCAGCCCTGAGTTAGCCATCCATAACCATCTTTGTAACCATTTGTAGATTTATTGATAACCGTGGTGCATTCTTTTGAAATGTGTTACATAATTTCTATAAAAAAATAGTTAAGGAATTTTTCTTCTTTTTTTTTTAGTTTTAAGAAGATAACTTAACCAGTGGTCACTCGCACAGTGCTCTATGAATATAAGGGGTTAAAAATGTAAAAAGGAATCCATGTTTTTTTTTTGCTGTTATATATTTATAAAAACAAATTTACAGCTGTTTAAGTTTAACTTTTTTTGTATAATATTAGCTCACTTAAGCAGTCTAAAAATGTATTTGCCTTAAGAAAAATGTTGTTATAATTGCAGAAAGCTAGTCATTTTTAACATACATATTTTGTACTTTAATATTTGCATTTCGGAGACTTGAGAATTTCTCTCAAGAGCTTACTTCTTATTAAAAGACATAATTTTTATGAAGGCACTTAAATGATGAGCTTTCTTAGATAAAATTAACATTGCCATCTTGTTAAAATATTGATGTCCTATTAAGAAAGTACCTGCTCTAGGGAGGGGGTTAATTAATAAATGATTGGTAGAAATTTAAAAAAATTGTCCATACTCTAAAATGTCTGCCCTCATGGAGGTTCTGTAACAGTGAAATTTTAGTGTATACTGAGTTTTTACTTAAATTTGCTCCTATAATTGTGCAATAACTAAATAATTTTTTTGTTCTTAATGAGATGTTTCATATTTCTTATGAAAATATTTTTCAGGTGGTGTGAAAATACTTTCAGGTAGTTTTTGCAAGCATTTTCAGAGCTGAAATTCTGAATCGAAGAGCTTATATATTGACAAAAATGTGTTGGATCCTTTCTCCTATAATAGAAGAATCCCGATAATCAAATAAATTTATATACCTGATTGGCTAACGGAATATAGTGATCATATATATTTTTTTTTTCCGATTGTTCCAGAGTTTCTGAATCAGAGTAGTCTCAAAACTGGATAATTTGGAAAAACCGGAAGAAAACATGATATTTTATTAATCTAGAAAAATATCAGATTCATTAAAATTACCGAAAAGGTATCGTAAATATAAAAAGGTGTACTGATTTTGAAGCAGAGGTGCAGAAAATTCTAATATTTCCCTAGAACATTTTTTTTTTTTTTTNTTTTTTTTTTTTTTTTTTTTTTTTTTTTTTTTTTTTTTTTTGGTTTGACATTTCCCTTAGCATTATAGGGCTTTTTTTGTAGCATAAGCTTTTATAAATAATTTTAGAAATTAAAGTTTGTATAGTGTTAAAAATTTTTAATAATAATTTTTGTTCGTACAAAAATAATGAAATTCATTTGCTTTTACACAATTCTCAAATAAACTAATGTATGTGTGAATTATAGAAATTCCAAATACAGTACAAAGTTCCTTATCCGGACGTTTGTTTATCTGAAACATCTTTTAAATTTCCATACACTCTAACAATCAAACTAAAAAAATTTCTTTCCCTTTTTAAACTTTTTTTTTAACGTTCCTTCGCAATCTGTTAAAAAAATATCAATAAAAATTTCTTACGATTTTTAAAAAAAAAAAATTTTTCGCTACCAAACTATTTATTCTGCCTCAGTAATCTCTCTAAAAGAGTTGTTAAAAAATGACACATTAAAGAAAAACAAACTTTAGTGAGAAGAATTAAATATATGAATATTAATGAAGCCGAGTAGTTATAGTGTTTGAAAAGAACACCAGCATACAAGCTTTGTTTCCCTTTAAATTATAAATGTTTGTTACTAACAAAATCTACTTAATTCTGTTCTTTTTTTTATTTTAATTTACTTTTTGAAATGATTTTTTTAACCTCATTTTTATCTTATTAATTCTTCACCTAAAATGGGGGAAAAAAGAGAGAGAGAAACGAATCTTCATTCATAAAAGTTCAAGTTATCGTTTGCCTACTTTTATTTATTTTTTAAACCCTATAAGAAAACGTTGTGTAAAATTAAAATTATCGTCCATTTGTTTGTTTCTTATTGAATAATGTATATTTTTAAGGTCTATTGTGCAGAAAAATCTGGTTTATGGAACTGCCTAAGTCCCCAGGATTCCAGATATGGTTCTTTTCACTGTATATTGAAATGGTAGTGATTTATAAAACTAAATTTAAGATCCAACTCAAAAACGTAAGCTAATGAATAAACAAATTGACATGCGTAGTTATTTGTATTATCATAACTGACATAACATTTACATTTTTCTTTTTATGCACTAATTTAATATGGAATAGTGAATTAAAAAAATTGTTAAAATTAATTTAAAAATGTATATTTTAATATTTAAATGATGACTTATTGTTTCATCTTTCTTACACCTTATTTGTCCAAATAACGCAGTTTTACGATAGTCAGGAAGTGGAACAGTCTTTTATAAAGAAATACCATACACCTAAAATTACCCCAGATCTGCATGATTTTCTCCCGAGCATTGACTCTGCTATCTGACATATTCTGCACTTCTGTTTTAAAGTACTGAAAAATCCAATATTTTTTTGTATATTTATAAAATTAATAAATATGTTTATTTTGAAAAATATTTTTATAGTAAAAAGTTAGTTTCATATTTTTTTTTCGACATATATCTCTATTTTTTCTTAAAATATTACTATAATTTTTTATTTCAATATTGTGTAAATAGTATTTCCTTATAGGCAACAAATGTTTCCAACAATGATTAACATTTGATATGCCAGATGCAATAAAATGTATCGATTATTTCTCCGTACTGCTATCTACTTGAGTCTTTCCGTATAATATGTTTGTTTAGTTCATTCTCGCAACAATTTTAAGAAATCAACATTAAAAGTCTTCTGTAATATATTTCACTTACACATGAATTAAAAAGACATAATGAAATATTTAATGATTGAATTTATACTCTTAATTATAACGATCAAGGAAGTTTATAAAATCAGGAATTTTCTACTCTGAATGTTGGTGGCCATTTTATATGTTTTACTGTCAGCCAAACATTTGGCAAAGTTTTCAATTTTTTTTTTTTGAACTATAAATCAAAATTTTATATCTTGAAATTCTTGTAAAAAATTTGGTTTGATGCTCTACATATGAAGCATTTTGCTTCTTTTTTTTACAAATAAATACAAAGATGATATTATCGGGATTTTACTATAAAGGATTACGTTTATTTTTAATGAACACTTTGGTGAGGTGAAATTTTTGATTTGGATCCTAATTTGCTTTTGTTACTATGTAAATAAAAACCCTTGTTATGTTGCTAGTTATAAGTTATATATGTTATGCTTGTTAATTTTAGATATTTAATAATTTTTAATCAGAATATGAATTTTTTGCTTTATTTTATAGTTTGATTTTACTATCTTTCTTTATTTTTATTTATTCATTTTTTTTAACTTGCATGTTTTCTCATTTCAATATTTTTTAATTATGGTATTTTGTTAAAATGTGTAACAGTTTTCAACATGTCCCAACATTCATAAAACGTCCAATGGGAAAAAGTAAACATTTTTTAAAATGCAATCTAAAAGATATAACTAATTTTTCCTATTTCTTTTATCAGTATGTGCATGTATGATATATGAAGATTCATAACACTTGTATGATCAATGAATCCTATGCTTATAAATATATTTTTTGTAGTGAATTTTAATAAAATAATTGGAATGAGCTTAAATGTGAGATAATGATAAGTCACAGAAAATTAATTTTCTGGTTGTAAGTTTCACAAGCAAGCCACCTCTTTAGGATAAGACCACTTTATTAAATCGTCCATCTGTAACGAGTAAATCAAATGTGATTCTTCATTTAGGCTTATAATCAACATAGCTACTGGATTTTCTCCTGATCTACTGGTTTAGTTAAAATTCTCCTAGTTTTTCTGTATTTTAGAAAATTTCCTAAAATTGAGTAAGTTTCCTAAAAAAAATTCGTGTTAAAATATAATTTTTATACGGATTATGCTTACTTGCTTGAATATTTAAATAAGTATTACTAATACATAATGAAGCAAACCTTATTTATGTGTTAGAAACATTTTTTTTTTGTTCTAAAATGTTCAGTTTTTTATTCAGAACTCTCTTTTTAAATTAATTAAAAAAATCTTTAACTATTTTTGATGAATTAAATGCCTATAACTATTCGAAATTATGAGTTAACATAATACCTAACATTTCAAGTACTAATGTCAATCATGAAGCAAATTGATGTTAAAGATCATAAAAAAAAGTATCAAAATGTCAAGAAAAGATTAAATGAAATTGACATAGCTGCCAACTCTACTGGATTTTGCCAGTTTCTGCTGGTCTACTGGTTTAATAGGAATTCTTCAGGTTATTATACGTTTTAGAAAATTCCCTAAAATATGAGAAAGTTTTCTTTAAAAAATCCCTATTCAAATAGAATTTTAGTGCAGATTAATGCTTGTTTGAATATTTAAACAAGTGTTACTAATGCATAAAGAAGCAAGCCTCATTTATGAAAATCAGTTCACTACCTTTTTTTTTAATTAAATACCTATTGATATTCAAAATTAAGGGTAAACATAATACATAATGTCAAGTTCATTTAATGTTAATAATAATAACTGAAAAATATTGCAGTTTTTTATTTTTATTTTGATGGCTAAAAATCCCTAAAATTCCCTTTGTGTAAAATATTTACATTTTGTAACAAGTTTCAAGAAGTTTATATTATTTCGTAAAATCTACTAGATTTTTCCCTATCCGTGTTGGCAGCTAGAAATCAATTCCTGGTTCATCAAAATTTTACTGTTTTTACTCATATTCTCAACCAAATATTCATGAGAACAATGAAATCCAACCAGCTTTTAAGTGTGATTTCAATTTTATATCCAATTTTGATTGCCAGAAAGAACAAGTTCTATATGTGTATATATAATGGATTAACCAAGTCAATAATTGTGCTGCTACTTTTTAAATACTTATGTTTTTGAGAAGAAAATGCCAAAATCAATACACATTGGTTTTGACTAATGTGTTATGACTTGGACTTAATAAGAGTTAAAACAACATGAGGACATTATTGCACTTTTGCTTATTACTATCTTCGTCACTTTTTGAAATGTGTCCAACACGCACACATATATATATTTATGTAATGAAAATTTTAATTCATATAAAGTTAAAAATATCGAGAAAATGTGGTAAATAATGTGATAAAGTTTAATGAAATGAGAAGAAGAAAAATAATTAATATAAAAAATCTTAGTAAAGAATATTTAAATTAGAAAAATATATGTATATTAACAAAATAATGAAAAGATATAATCTCGCCATCAGCTCACGTGATTATATCTGCAAAAAATTTGAGTGCTTCAGTTTTCCTGCTTTTTAATAAATTTTTTTTAAATATCTTTTAAAAATAATTTATTTTAATAATTTTTCTTCTCCTTTCAGAATAAAAAATGTATTAGACCATATGAAAACAAACACACAATCTCATCATTAAATCGGGAAATATTACATTTTTGAAGCTTATACTTTTTAGCTGGTTTATCTTTTTGTGGCTTATCATTTTTCTCATTAAATCCTTCATATATTAATTTTTGGAAAAATACATTCCCAAATGGGAACAAAATCTGTTTTTGTAATGTAATATCTTCACACTATCCAGTAATATTGCTGATAATCTATTAATTATCAGCGTGTTGAAGCTGACATTAATTTACAAGATTATAGAATATGAGTGAGTAAAAACTGATATTAATTTGCAAAATGATTGAATGTCAATGAAGTATTGTATAAATAAGCTTTCTGTAATCTTTGAATGTCATTGTGATTCTCAAATGGTGCCATCAATAATCAAAGTTTTTAGATAAAAAATTTCTTGTGGTGCCATCGTATACTTCAGTGTTTCGATACTTTGTACAAAATGCATCTTTCTGGGAAAACAATTTTTAGTATGTATTTTTTCATACAATGCTTGTACTTTTTCATGATATTTTTTTGAAAAAAATTTACTCAAATTATTGTGAAAGTGACTATTTTTTTACTGTTGTTGTATGGTTTTGGAAGGAAAAAAATGTTTTTATCTTTAACGTCATCAGTATATTTTAATATTTCTTGTTTTATATGCTCTTAATGTGAATTGAATGTATATGTTAATTATACAATTTCTACTCAGGTAAAAAAGAAATGCATGAACCTTCTTTTATTTATATTTTATATTCAAGAAGAAAATTTTCACCCATCTCAAAAAAGAAGAAATAGTGAATGATTTACATTATTTTAAAGTCATTAAACCTAGTGGAATTCTTATCATTTTTAAAATTGAGAAAAAATATATGGTGTGGAACTTTGGGTTGACTAAATTAACCAATGTGTTATCTTCTTTGCAAAATGTGCAATATATATTAAGTTGAATAAAAAATAACATTTCAAAGTTTGAAAAAAACTTTACATAATCTTTTTCTTAATAACTTTTTTAAATTATAATGATCTTCATCTGCAGTTTATATACAGTAGCATATTTTATTTTTATACAAAATTAAAATAGAAAAAAAAATTTTTTTTTCTTCAAATATTTATTTTAAAAGCTTGTTTGATTCAAATGCAAATTAAATGAAGTTTTTTTTTTCAACAAATGTGTTATAAAATCATTATTTTGTTTCTTATCAATACGTGTAATATTTTTTCATATATTACATTCTGTTTAAATCAAATATGCTACTCGCATTTTAAGACATTAGTTATGTAATTAATTCAACTTAATATGCATGTTTTGTTGCCTAATTTCAAAGAGAAAGTTTCAAAAGACTATTTATATGGAAGTTCCTGATACAAATGATTGCACACATGCCAATGGTTCCGTCCATATTTTCAATAGCATTGTTTCTATCAATGCAGCAGCACTGTTGATCATTTACTCTTGCTTCTCCTTTCAATCATAAGTGCTCCCCTTCTTTTTTTTTTCACTGTAATAAATTTAAAATTTTTATTTCGCTTACTTTTCAAAAAAATGCTCATTCTTTTTTCTGCATATCTACTTAATCAGTTCTAAGCATTACTTTGAAGAATGGTTTTTTGCCTTTAGAGAGATTCTATGACCATTCTGGCATCATTTTATGCAAATTTGATTTCCTTATTTAAATGTAATTTATGTTGAGTGCAGTATAAATAGATTCCTGCTCTTGTGTCAATAAACTCAAATAATATTGACTCATTAAGCTCGAAAATAAGTTTTGCTTTTATACAAAAAATTAGGAACTCGCTTAGAGCAGGATTGGCAGTTCGTCTGGAAGACTCCTTCCAGGACGCTGAAAGAAACTAAAAAAGACAAATACGAATATTACAAGAATGGCTTAAATTTAAACAAATTAAATTCAAAATAGTGCAAGAACAATAATAGCTTTTCACATCAACTTTTCTAAAAGAAGAAAAACAATTTATGCTGAATTTTTTAAATCTGTCTCACATTATTTAAAAGTCGGTC